TGTCGATTTGTGGTTCGTGATGCTGAGAATCGGGGGACCCCATGCCCTGAAGAAGAGAGGAGCTAGCCAAAGGAGAGCCAAACCACTGGGTCCTCGGACGGTCTTACGGGATGTGTAAAGTGGGAGCCCACCCACATGCCGTCGCAAATGCGAAACGACGTCCGCAAGTCTATACAGAACACACAACAAAAGTGTCCTGAAGAGGACCGTCTCTCCTCTTCGCTTTGACCTTCCTTTTCGGGTCAAGGAGACAAACAATAGGACCTGACCGTGCACTGCGGTGCATCCGGCGATCCACAGTCGCGAAAGTTTAGGCATGCGCGTCTTTTCGACAGAAGGCGGACGATCATCCGGTGTTAGGCATTGCGAAGGGCGACGAGCGAGAAAGCGATGTTTTGCAGGGGCACACGAGGAGCACAGCGAAGATGCGCGTCGGCCGTCGCGTCGGGCTGCGTGGGCACGTGCAGGTGAGATATTCGAGTTCGCCGCGTCCGGCACGAAGATCCGGCTTGTCATCGTCGCGCATGTCGCTGTCTCTCACCCAGCAATGGCTTCGCCAAAACATATCTTTCTACTCTGCGAAGGACAGGGTTTACGCGGACGTGGATGCGCTGCTACCCAGGCAGCCCACGCTGCGGCCAAAGACCGACGTGTACAGTTGCGTGCCTGGCCAGTATCGCACCCCGCAACGTTGTTCATCGCCTCGCTCCAGCGTACGATGACGGCCGAACCCAATTGTTACTGTGTATACATGGCCTGCTGCCAATTTCGTATCGACAGTCATCGTACCACATTCCGGTGGCTATCTGGTTGACACGCGACTATCCTCGCGAACCACCGATTGCATTCGTCGTGCCGACTCCGGACATGCTTGTCAAACCGGGCAAGTATATGGACGTGAGCGGAAGGTGCAATATAGAGTATTTGCAGAACTGGGCTCGTAAGAGTGAGGTCAGGGTCTTGGTTGTACTCGATCTGTGGTTCGCGCGCCTGAACAATTGTCGTATGCGTAGGGATGTCATCTGCTTGCTTTGGTCGAAGAGATGCGATCGCACTTCTCGCGAGATCCTCCAGTATACTCCAAGCCCAAGCAGCCGCAGCCGCCCCAACAGGACTCTAGACCATCATCCTTGCCCTCTTCTCCCCCTGCTTCAGCGCAGAGTCTCGACCAACGTCCCGCGCTTCCACCGAAGCCACCCTCAAGCGCGTCATCCCCTCCCCTGCTTCAACCTGTTCTCTCTAGCGCCCAGCCACCCTTCTCGCACCATCCCTCGAATAGCACTCCGGTTCAAAGTGCAAACCCTTCCTCCTCACCGAGGTACCAATCTGTGCGTCCCGTGCTCATGTTCCTTCCGACCTTGAATTTACCCAATTTCTACAGCCGGCCCTTCCTCCGAAGCCCCCGACGGCGGCCTTCCCACATGTACAGCCACTGCAACATCACTCACACAGCTCGTACACACCACACCATGAGCACTCGCGCAGCGCATCCGTCGTAGGTTCACCGGCGCAGTTGTCCGCGCATCCGGCTCCACTGGCACCGGCACCCGGACCGGCTTCCGCTGTGCAACAGCGTTGGTCGCTCCCGCCGGCTGGCCCGACGCCAGCATCGCCTCCATCGGTCCCGTACCAACAGACACCAGCGCCTGCACCAATATATGCACCCGCACCTGCTGTTCCGTCAGGCAAGTGCTCACAGAGGTGTAGTGTCACATCGACTGATCAACCAATGACATCCTGCAACCGTGGGTATATACGTACAGGTCCGCCGCCCGGCGCGTATGCGTATACGACAGCGGCGGCGCCTACGCCTGCGCAGTCAGTAGTACCTGCGCTTGCCCAACCCGTGATACCAGCACCAAACCTATTAGACGAGGATGACGACTCGGGATCGGCGCCTACGCCAGCGCCAAACCAAGCGCCTCCGCGGCCTCCCAACCCTGAACTTCTGCGGTTGCACGAGCAAGTTCGGAACAAGCTTGCAGGGGAACTCGCTTCTTTGGCACATGCACACGCACTTGACGCTGAGCGTCTACGCGCACATCAACGTGATTTACTCGCGGGGGAACCCGCCATCCGTGATGAGAGTGCACGGTTAACGGCTGTCCGCGATGTGTGTGGAGGTGTAGCTGCGCGCCTACGCGGCGCCGTTCAAGCCGCAGAAGCAAATGTTGCCGAGCTCAGACGTAAGGGCGACCCGCCTGTAGACGAGCTCGTATGCGCGCCCAGCATTGTACACAATCAGTAAGTTCTCACGGGCTCCGAAATCTCCCCGCCTTCCGCTCCGTCCGCCGTCCTCCGTCCTCCGCCCCCGATCCCGCCGTCCGCCCGGATGTATCTACAGTTCTGACGGATCCTTTTAATCTCACATAGGCTGATCGACCTCGTCGCGGAGGACAACGCCATCGAAGATACGATATACCATCTCCACCGGGCTCTCAACGCCGGACGCATCGATCTTGACCGGTTCCTGCGAGTACGTTCATCCATCCTTCTTTGTGCTCTTCGGGATTGCGCATCACCCATCGCACATTCTTTATCTCACTCCCTTTCCCCTGTCCTCTCGATCCCGAAAGCCTAATCTAATCTCATCTGATCCGCAGACAACACGATCGCTCGCAGAAGAGCAGTTCATGAAGCGTGCGCTCGTCGAGAAGATACAAACCGCTTTGCCTGCCTCGCGGTCGGGCTGGTCATAGGGATGGGACCGCGCTACTGCGGGGTACAAGAGGTACAAAGTTTAGACAGACACGTTGCATGGTATCTATGATACGTGCTTGGGCGCAGAGATAGAACATGTTCAAGCATGCGGCGGAAGATGCGCGGGGCGTGTCTATGGACCCTCTTTGGGCGGGAGATGAACGTGGAAAGAGGCTTGGTCCGGGAGATGAACTGCTCAAAGTGATGAGACGAACCCGAGATGAACGCGCGACAGCCAGAGCATGTGCATGAGCGCGATTACCCTGTTATCTATCTACTTGAACCTGCGCCGAACCGCCCGAACTTACCTGTGAATCCGCCTTACACCTTCCGCTTTCGGACGCGTCTTTGTAGTGCGCATATGGCGCGATCTGCCCTGGCCGTCCGCGTCGGCCGCGATGTGCCATGGGACCGTCATATGGCTCAAACTATGAACTCCTAGTAGAAAGATAATAACGAGAACACCCCCCTTCGGGACCCGCGCGTGCGTTCATCCCATTTATGCAAAGTCAGAAGACATCCGGCGATGGCTTGCAGCGGTGGTCAGCCGCGCGTTGCCACCATCTCGTCGTATAGATCGCGAAACGATTGTTGGTCCTGGTGGGCGCCGGCGCGCTTTAGATCTTGAATCTTGGAGTCGCCAGTCGGGCCGCCCGACCGCGCCAGCGCGCCCGGCTCGACCTTCCGCATACGATCAGACGCCCGTAGGTGAACGACACGATGGCGCCGGGGTTGGGCGCCTCGCTCGAAGTCCGATGATGGGCCACAGTGCCCTGAGAGCGAGATGAGGAAAGTTTCTGCTACATGCGCAGTTGCGCAAACAATCAGGACGGGGTTCACCCAGGGCTTTCCCCCTCCACGATCGAGAAGAGGAAGTTGGGACTTGGGGTGTCCAGGACCCTGCAGGTGCTCTTGCCTGGGCTACACCACTGCTAGCGAGTTGAGGGAGGAGGGATCCAGCCCCAGCGTACCCCTGTGCGAGTGTAGCATAGAAGGTGCCCTAAAAGCTACTTCAGATCTCGACCGTCAGTTCGTGCGGTGGTCCCTGCGGCGAAAGCTCGAAAGGGGGTCCCGGTGTGAGCAAATGCTAGCTCGAAAGAGGTTACGCCTCGAAGCTCGCAGTCTAGACGAAGTACATCGGTCGGTGAAGTTCAGAAGCTGTATCGCATCGGCGTCACTGAGGTCTGGACCGTCGAGGGCCAGAACAACAGCGGAAAGGATCCATACGTGCTGCACTTTCTGGACGCACGAGAGTCATGTCATGGTTACAGGCTAATCTGTGGCCACAGGAGCAAGGCACATGTGATCGGAAAAGACAAAAGACATGATTGAGGAAGGTCGAAGGTGAGTTCTCTATCGGGAGAGGGCACTGGCAATATATTCGATCGTTCGCTGCGCAGAGCAGTCAGGTTATTCAAACGATGATCGCGGCAGTGAAGAGCAGGCGTAAGTAGACAATTGACAAAGTCATAGACAATTCGACATGAACATAAACAATCAACATATTCAGAGCGAGACGAACAACATCCAGACGTGGTATACACATATCGCCAAAGAAACAACCAAGAAACCCGAAACGATCACTGATCAAGCGACGACACGTCCACCTTGACCTTCATAAGCGATATTCCTCCCTCCTTCGCCCACCCAAGTCCACATCCTCGCCTCATCGCCCGCAGCGGTCTCGTCTTCGTTAACACGCACGTTCGCGTTTCCCTCCACAACACGCGCGACATGCTCCCAGATGCGAGTCCGGCGGGTGACAGAATGTTCATCTGCTAGTAATGTATCACGGAGCTGCAGCGATGGTATGCGGGGCTCGGCCTGTACGGGGTCGACATAGTGGGAGATCTCCTGGTTGCGGAGCATATCCAACGCGATTGGGATAAGCTCCTTCGCGCGGGCCTTCTCCGCGTTGGTAGCGGCACGGCTGTAGCGCATGTACATGAACGTCAAAGCCATACCGGCTGTCGCTGAGATGAAACATGGTTAATTGCGGGACAGCACGAGAGTAAATTAAGAGACTTACTGAGGACAGAGACCTGCCATTCTTTCCAAGCCTCACGGCTCTTCACTCTAATTGCGCAGGAAATGTCCATGTCGGCCGTCTTATGTGCGTAGTACACATGGCCCTCCTTATCGAGACCAGTGACCAGAACGCCGGCCTGTTCAAGCTCCTGCATAGCGACATCAAAGATGTGCTCGAAGTTCTTCAGCTGTTCTTCATTCTATAACGAGCGTTAGTTGTATGCACGGAACCCGTCCAACTTAGTGAACGTACCAGCTCAGGGTGAGTTTCATCAAACAACTGCTTGCGTTCTCGGCCAAATTGCCGCGCTTCCCCGCCTTCGGCGTCGGAGAACGACGTTGAGGCGCCAGCACAAGTGACAACTCCGCGAACTTGCTTCAGCCTCTTCTGAATGGCTGATCCCACGCCCTCAATTCGCCTCTCCCGGAAAGGGTCCACGGCACAGTGCGGAGGGAACGCGATGGGTCCGAAGCGAGGGAGCCCGTCGAACACGAATGAAGCGACTTCGTATACAGCGCGGGTGGTCTGAGGGAAGCTCTCTGGCAGGGACGAGACATTGACGGTCGAAGTGAGAGGGAAGCGGGCGAAGGACAAGGCCGGATGGGGTCGGACGACCAGGTTGTTGGTGCAGGTAATCTCCCGGCCCTTGCACACGGCGTCGGCTGGACAAGGTGTGCACACATCGGGAGGACCGAAGAAGTTCTCGACGCTATCAAAGATATTCGGGCACGCTTCCATTCCGACAGTTGAAGCGCCGTCGGACACCGGGTACAGCGTCGTTCGATTCTCAGCCTGACAAGCCGTGATGAGTTTGGCCTGCGCCCGTACGGCTTCAAGTGCCTCGTTTGTGTCCGAGCCGGGATCACAGAAGCCAATTGAGATGGACTGCTGCTTCCATGGGTACGCAAGGCGTGCGGCGAGGCCCATAACAAGTAAGAGCATCAGTCGAGGGAAGAGGCTGGCCCGAGGCTCAGGCGGTGGAGTATATTCGACAAGCGCGGAGCCTGATGGTGTCCTTCCGAGAGCCTCGCCGACCCTCCGAACTTGCGTCGCATCCTCATCCTCTTCATAACTCTCCACCGAGTCCTGAACGCCACTTTGCTGCAAAGAGAGCTCATCTTCTTCGTCGGAGTCTGGAACGACTTCTGCTGTGACACGAGCCGGAGTGCGTTTGACAAAGGGAGAAGCGGGCGGTAGAGGTGGCTCGTTGAAGGCAAATGGCCCGTCTTTCGGCGTGAAGGGCGTCCGCGTGGCCTTTCCAGGTGTGGCGGTGGTCTTGGCTGGCGTACGTCCGACATTCCCAAACATATTGCTCTGCCTGACGACCGGAGAAGGTAGTTCGGGTTCGAAGACGGGCGCATGAAGCGGAGAAGAGTGCACCGGTGATGGAGATGGAGGTGCACGGATCGGGGATGGAGGAGCGCGCACAGGAGAGACAGCGGGACGCCGGCGTGAGACTGGCTTCTGAGTTGGTTCTTCCTCTTCCTCTTCGTCCTCCGATGCAGGCGGCGACGAGGACGGCAATTGCTCGGGTGGTGGTGCAGAGACCTTGCGTGTGGTCCGCCGGGTTGGTCCCGCGGCCGACTTCGGCGCACTCTTCCGGGATCGTGGCTTCGCGCGTGCAGGCGATGACGACTCAGCGCCAGACTGGAACATGTTGTTATCCTCCCATCCGCTATCCTCGGCGAACGCAGACTGAACTATACTCAGTACACAGAGAGCGGAACCATATTCGGGGAACGTACGGATTGTGAGACTTTCCGCGGACGCGATCCGACGTCCTCGGACTGAAGGGCACGTTAGATACAAGTTATGACGAATACTAATACAATCTGTAAACGTACGTTCTTCGAGCGACCCACTTTCTTAGGTGGTTGTTCCTCCTCTGGTTCGCTCTCCTCGACGACAACAGGCTCAGCAGCAGCTCGGCCGGCCTTTGCGCGTCCGACAGAAGGTTGTCGTGAAACACGGCGACGTTTAGGCTACAAGTAATCAGCCTCAGTGTAGCTAACTCTATAGATAGTACGCACGGGTTCAAGCTGGGTAGGTTCGGGTTCGGCCGTAGGTGCACGTGAACTACGGCGCGAAGAGCGGCGCAGTGGTTGCTGATGTGCCACTCAGACAAGGAACAAGACATTCCGGAGATGTGCCACACACCTGAGGCTGGCTGAGATATTCGCCAGTCATACCATCCTTAATACCATCATCACTCGCAATGCTGCTCTCGGCCTTGACGCGTTCCTTCTGGAAAGACTTTGACTTGGGCTTGATCTCGTCGTTGAATAGCTGTACAAGCTTCGGCTTGGTGTATGGCGTGGGATATCTGACGTTGTGATAACCGAAGATTCCGAGGAGTTGGGAGACGGTGAGGGAGCTGGGTTCAAAGTCGGGCTTGAGGTAGTCGCCGGCTGCGATAACTTGCGCGGCGGTCATAGATCGCGACATGGCCGCTAGTGATGGTTCGGGACAAACGAGGATCGGGCGTTGCTCCACAGAGACCAACAACTCCCACGTGCACAAATTCAACGAACACGTCACGCGTCAATCATCCGCGTGACGACACGCGTATATTTTCCGTCCTGTTTCGCTTGATGGAAATGTGGCCCACGCAAGGCTCCTATAGATATCTAGTTTGTCCAGTGTACATTATGCTATGTCTATGCAGCAAAGACCGGGCGGCTGAATCCAGTGCGACCGTACCACTTGCCCTTGACATGAGCGTTGAAGTAGGCCCACGGGAAGAGGTCCTTCTTGAAGTGGTAGAAGAGCCTACGCGGAGTTGCCTGGTCGCCGACGAACTGTGCGAACGTCTCGTCCGGCACGAGGCCGTACTTGAACTCGGCAAGTAGGAGTTGGCCGTAGCCGGTGAGCAACTAAAAGCGCGTCAGTGCCCGACAACTTCAACGTACGTGTGGAATACGTACCGGGCAACTGGTGTACCCAGAGTAGGTTGCCGAGCTGATCTTGCCGGTGTCGACAAGGCTGAACAAGTTCTCCGTCAATACCGGCGCCTGAGCGATAGCAGCCGCAGCGGTCTTGCTGGTCGGCAACGACGACGCGTCGCCGATGGCCCACACGTTCGCGTACTCGGGCTTGACGTGCTGAAGGGTGTCCTTGTTAACGTCGACCCAGCCAGCAGCATCTGCGATCGGCGCGCCCTTCATGACATTCAGAGGGCCCTGGGGTGGCACCACGTGCAAGAGAGTGTAGTCCTCCGTCACAAGAGTACCGTCGCCAGTCTTGAACGTCGCCGTCTTCGTGCTCGGGTCAACCTTTACAAGGTTATGACCGAACTTGCCGCCCACACCACGCTCAAGGCGCAGAGCATCGAGCCTGTCCGAGTACTTCTTGACGCTGAACATGGTTGGCATGCCTGTGATGAAGTCGACCTTGATGTTGTCGCCACGACCAGTCTGGCGATACCTGTCCCATGCCATCCACATGATTTTTTGAGGTGCTGGATAAGCAGATTGTTCAGTCAGTCGAGGTCCATCCAGAACAGCGACAGCCACACTTACCGCCGGCACACTTGATAATTCCGGCAGGCTGTGTGAAGATTGCACGTCCCGAGCGCAAAGCCTCAATGTCCGTCCAAACTTTGTCAGCCGTGTTGTAGGAGTAGATGGTGGAAACGCCAGAGTTGGGGTCCCCGAGTGCGGAAGGAAGGCCCTCAATGCCGTCGAAGTTGATCTGTAGACCAGTTGCGACAACAAGCTGGTCGTACGACACTGTACGGCCTGCATCGGTAGTGATGGCGTTCTTTGCCGGGTCAAACGACTTGACGTTCTCCGGGAGGTGTGCGATATGCGAAGGAATGAGGGACGCGAGAGGACGGCGTAATTCAGACTTTTGTTTCAGGCCAGCACCGACGAGAGTCCTGTGTCTGGTTCAGTAAAGCGATAGATATATAGCATCACTTAGAAGACGAACCATCCTGGCTGTAAACAGCATAGATTTGAGTACCTGAAGCTAGCCCAAGATAACGCTATGCCGCACCTGGTAGTGGTGCCACTCGGCCGCATCGACGATGGCAATGTCCTGAGGGTTCAACGACTTGCCCGCACTCGCAAACCTATCATAGATCTGCTGTGCAGCCGCAATACCGGCGGAGCCTACGGTCGTGTGAGCTTAGTGAGCGCGTACAGACTTGACAGCACTCTTACCGCCACCAAGCACGACGACCTTGTATTTATCCTTCGTCGGTGCGGCAGCGGCAGCGCTGGCCAGGCGCGAGCCGGTCGACTGAAGGAGTGCGGGCGCTACTTTTCGTGCCGCAAACATGATGGCGAGAACGAGGTTGGGAAAAGAAGCGCACGACCCGCAGTTCGGACGACGTTCATGATGGCGAAGACTCACGAAGACGCAACGCGCACATCATCGCAAACGCTTCCGCGCCGTTTGCTGCCGTGCCTAATCGGTACAACAATAACAATCTCTCACGTACCCAACACCAGCACATTATACAGTGCGAAGCTCACGATATACTGATAGTGATAGTAGCGCATACAATATTCATGATGACGTAATAGCAAGGGTACATTATCCTACAGATATGCGAACTCAGAGCCCTCCGATCTTGCTCTTCCAGCTGTGTGCCTTTTCGAAACCATTGATAGCCATGCGGTCTGCGTGTGGCGGTCAGAGAAGTACGTCACAGATAGAGGTAGTAAACTCACAGTCCAAGAAGGTCTTTTGGATGTCCTCTTTGCTCGTCATGACGAAGGGACCGTATTGCACGACCTCTTGGTCAAGAGGCTCTGCAGCAATCTATAGTTCTGTGTGAGAATGTAGCAGACGCTGAGCAGCTATAAACATACCAGGACGAGCTCAGTGTTGTCTTCAGTCGCGGTGATGGCAACGCCGTTTTGCTCATTGTTTGTGGAGAGGATGAGCGTGTTGTATGCTTCGTGGACCGTCTCGTCTGTTCCAATCTTCGCCTTGCCCTTCAATGCTATGGGTATGTGTGAGCATAAGTCCTCTCCAACTCTAGCTGGCATACTCACTGTAGATGAAAGATGTCCAGTCGGCAGCTAGCGCGCGGCGTCAGTCTCAACACAGTACCAACTCTGTAGAGGACTCACGAAGTGCTTGGAATACGGAGCCCGCCTTGGGGAATACGATATGGAAGTACCAGCAGCCGCCAAGAGGGCGAACGGGCGATTCGACGCCGTGGCTCTTGCCAGAAATGACGCGGATCTGGACGCCGTCAGGGCCGTCTGGTTGTGCGACTGGGATGCTGCGAGGGCATAAGCACTGCAATCACGCGCATACAGGATTTGCAGATGTACTCACTTCTTCGGCTCCAGCTCTTGATACGTGGGCTCGACCATCTTGAACTTCTTCGGCAAGTCGATCCAGAGTTGGAGCCCTACAGGGTTGGGCTTTCCCGGTCCATGCACCGGCATCTCTGCGTGGATGACTGTATCAAGTGAGCAGAGTACTTCGGCGCTGTGAGATGTGAAAACGTACTACCGCGGCCCGCGCACATCCACTGCACACCCCCTGCGTCGATCTGCCCTGCATGCCCAGCGGAGTCTTCATGCTTGAAAGAACTAGACGATGACGTTGGTGATACGTTCTTCTACGCTGAGCGTGTGACGAAACGTACCCATCGAGCATGTATGTCACAGTCGCCTGTCCGCGATGCGGATGATCGGGGAAGCCCTGCATGTCCCCCGCTCGGTCAAGTGCACAAAGTCCGACGAGCAGAAGCGCTTACCGCTCCAGGAGTGATGTGGAAGTGGTCGAGCATGAGGAATGGGGTTTGATTCCTGAGTGCCATCGAGCCGATGGATCTGCGTACGCGTGCGCCAGCGCCCTATTCAAAGACAGTGAGGTTTTGGGGTGGACTACAGAGTTGAGTGCGCGCACCTCTGCCTGCTCGATAGCGAGGACCTTCTTGACTACAGCGCGAGATACTGATTGAGCGCTCATTTCGATACTATCGGTGTCGAGATCAAGTGCGTTGGTTGAAATGTCGGATGATGGTGTGATAGACGCAGAATGTGTCTGAGGTTTGTACCACACGAAGGCGAGTACGAGTGCAACTGCGGAGAGGAGGAAGATGGCGGATCTGCTAGTTCGTCCCATGTCTGCCTTTATACTTCCCGCGTAAACAAATCTTTATATACTCCCGAACCGCCGCGAAGGAGACGGAGTTGAAGCCCTGACAAACGGCAGGCCCGAGTCCGTCATAGCTCTTCATGCAAGCTGAAAAACGGGGTCCTATTTGGGGCGCTAGTATCCCATGATGCGGTCTTCTGTCGCCCGACGCTGACTTTGAATAGACGCTGGGATAGGAACGGAAATGGCATTGCAGGTGGCGGTGGGAGCAGACGTCCATGTTAGGCGCCGGTCCGCATTGGCTGAGGTGATCATTCCCTGACGTATGAAGTTTCGAGTCTTCGAGAAACGAAAGAAGGAAGGGCTTTGTCTGACGGGCGGTCAGAATTTGGGGTCTTTCCCACGGTGCTCTACGGACGCAAAATATGCTGGTAGCTGCCGCTTTAGTGCTACTTTTTCTACCGAATCCTTCGATTTTGACAGCCTCGTCCGCAAGCTGAGACATTGGGGTGCTTCTCACGCGCATGGGTCACTGTGGATGCCAGACGGCGTCATTCGTGCAAGTGTGGTGTCGTTTCGTCGTCGGCGAATGTTGCATCCTCTTTACGAGGATGATCAGCTATGTCTTTGCCCTCGAGTGGCTCGTGCGATCTACCTGAGCTATGTCTTACTGTGACGGCCATTTGCTGACCTACATCCGAGCACGAGACACCCGGCGAGCGAAGCGAGCGACGGGGGTCGAGTGCTCGGAAGGTGGTTGCACTCGAGTGACTACAGCTGCGTATCAACTTTCCTGCGCACCATTTGGAGCATTGACATGCTCATCGTGTGAGAGTATGCGAGTATAGCATTGCCGGATGGACTGCAAACGTATAGCGCTCATGTCGATCCCGGACTAAACTACCGGAGATCGCTGATTGTGCCATTCATCCTCACCGAATCTATAGCCTGATGCGTTTGAGCGACGATTGAACGTTCGGACGAGGAGTGCGCTAGAACGGCGCGCGGCGGCACTACAATGCATGATGATAAGCGGGGAAACCTGCAAGACGCAGGCCAGGAGGCGGTGGTACAAGTACATGCGAAGTCTTACAGTACGATCGGGCGGAGATGGAAAGTACAACAAAGAAAGATACGAAGTGAAGGGGCGAGGAGGACAAGTACAAGAACGAACCGCGCCGGCAAGAAAGGAGGCAGCACGTATATGTAGTGCATAGTGTTCGGACGGTAAGGTGGGCTAGCGAGGACACACTCGTAGAGTGTAAAGGGAGGTTCGCTAGCCTCCCAGTTGACCCATATCCCCGCCTGCGCGCATCCTCCGGCGGGTAATAGCTGCAGGCCTGGCCGGGTTTCGCGACGGCCGCGCCGATTCGGTATCGGCCGCACCTGCATAATAGCGAGTGCTAGACACGACTTGCTGAGGGACTGCGGCCAAAGGCACGACGCATCGCTGCCGCCGGTATAAGCGCCATGCGGGTTGGGAGCAAAAGGCGTTGCGCGTCGCAGGCGGTTCTTCGTCCTGAGGCGTCGGGAGCGCTGGACACGCGAGTGCAGCCCGCGGCGCGACGCATCGCGGTAGAAGGGAAGCGTGGCTTCTGCGCTTACGCGTAGGAGTGATCACAGTCGGATACAGACTGATGTGAAGAACGTTTGATTACGGTTCAGTGCACTGTTAAGCCTCGGTCCAACCTCGGTCACTCTACGCCAGTACTGTTGACTTCTCGGTACCGCTCGACGATGGCCACTGTGTAACCCTACGTCAGGGACCGGGCGCTTGCGCCGCTAGGATGCTAATCTGGCTTACGCGATCTCATGTACTGCGCGTCCACACGCGCCCACATGCGCTTCAGGGATTCGAAACTCGAATGGCTTCGTTCAGAGTTGTACGATAGACGATCAGCAGTCTGAGTACTATGTAAATGTCATGACATCTACAGTTTTTCCCACGCTTGTCTCCAGCGCGAACGCGGACCCTTAACCTCTTGTTCTTGTAAGAAACGCTCTTCCTCCTCGTCAATGTCGCGAAGACCGGTAACGAGATCAACCTTTTCTGCGGGTATAAACTTCGTCCTGTATAGGATCTTGTATCCCACCCACAGGGCAAAGAAGATAGGTATCCCGATGTACTTGAATGACATCAGTATTGGTCACGAGTCACGATTGCCATGTGGATCGCGGGTTTTTGTAGACGTACTGCTGTCACGAAGGTACTGGTTGTGAATGGCAAGAACGCGTCGAAACCTTCCCAGGTAAGGTTCAGATTATGTCTACTTTGAGGGAGTGAGAGAAAAGACTCACCCTTGAAGAACGTAATGATGCCTATCGAGATCAGCGCAAACCATGAGCCATACGAGTGCCACGGTGCCTTGTAAGGCAAGCTGTCGCGGGGGATTCCTTGTACCTCTAAGGCCTTCACAAAGCGTCTATGAAGATACTGATCTGAGCATCTATAAAGCCGGTATCATCCTCGTGGACCCACATGTGCGAGTAGCTGATGCACATCCAGGTGATGGCGCCGAATGTCGAAAGAAGGTTCATTCTGAAGACAGGTCAATCAACCGAGCATAGCCTCGCCTGCGGGGTCTTACAAGTATCCAAACACTTACGCCAGTCAGCCATACTGTGACACAGAGACTTGAAGCAAACGCTCACCCTTCGCGGAGGACGTTGATAGGTTCAGATAGACCAGACCACAAAAAGCGGCGCAAAGGATGAGCGCGGGCCAAGGCACCCCCCTTCTATCCACACGCTTGAAGATTGCCGGAGCTTTACCTTCCAGTGCCAGCGCGTATAGCGTGCGCGAAGCAATGTACAAGTCAGAGTTTGCGGCGCTTATCACGAAGATCAGGATGCACGCGTTGATGACATGGTTGAGTACTTTGATGCCGACCAAGGTGGTCGCTATGTTTAGAGTCAACGTGTTGCTCGGTCTCACTCGAGCACAAGAATGAATGGGCACGCACCGACGACAAAGGGAGAGGCGGCAGCGCCATTTTTGGAGCTATTGGCCACGAACAGGTCGTTGACAGTGCGTGGCACAGTCATTCCCAGGATCAAGACGCCGCCTATGCAGCGGGTTAGCGGCCGGAAAGGGCTGTAGAGCAAAGCTGATACCAATGTAGAAGATGAAGATACGCCAAAAGACACTGACGAGCAGGGTTATGCGCTAGTCATAACGCTAGGCAGTCGACATGCGCACCGTCGAATGGCAATCGGGATGTTCTTCCTCGGGTTTTGCGCCTCTCCGACCGTTACGCCGATGAGCTCCGTCCCGATGTATGAGAAGACAGCGTTCACGAGTGTATACACGAACCCGAGGAAGCTTTCAAGATGAGTATTATGCACCGTACCCTCAAGATACGATCCCATGGGTCCATTGGGTGGTTGCCAGTACCGAAACCCGATGCGATCATGTTCCGGGTTGCCTATATGCGATAGTTCAGCAAGAGGGTCTTAATCGGCAGATAGGATGCCTGACCTCCAAGGTCAATGATGAGACCCATGAGAAGCAGTCCGACGAGAGTGGTGACTTTCAGCGAACTGAACCAGAACTCGAACTCTCCGAAGAAGCTCACACCCATCAGGTTCACCCCGAAGATGAAGACGATGAATACGGTCATGAATACGGCGACGTTGACCTTCTGCGTCCAGTACTGAATTACCGCACCGGCGGCGTTGATGTTGTTGGGAGTGACGATCAGATACTTCCTACAGCGTACATGAGCAGCGTGAACGGCCGCGTACCGATCGGAGACTTACAATAGATAGTTCCACCCGAGTGCGAAGCCAAAGGCTGGGTCGACGAATCGCGTAGCGTATCCAGAGAAACCTCGCTTATGAGGAAGGTATGCGGACATCTCACCTAATCCCGTGAGAACGAGATAGCATACTAGACCAACGAAGGAGTATCCAAGAAGGATGCCTAGCGGTCCGCCGCGCACGAGTGCGGTACCAGAACTGATGATCAACCCGGTACCCAATGAGCCTCCCAGCTAAGATAAGGACCTGATAAGCATGAAGTCATTTGAAACGACAACAAAGAGTACTCACTGCAATCATCGATATCTGTCGCGCTTGCAGACCGCGATGCAGCGTCTCCCCGATCTCTTCATTCTCCTCCGACCTGACAGAGCGACAATCGACGTGAGCAAGACCTTTCTCGTTGATTGAGGCTGTGGCGGAAGAGCTTTTTTCCAGCGTGGAAGTCATCGCGGGCTCTCAGGCTGTCCCGTGCTCGTGAAGCGGGAGAGGAAGCCAAAGCATGTCTCAGTCAGAGCACCGTAGCTTTATACGTGACGCTTATCAGCGCCCCTCCGACAAGACGTGTATCCTTCTTTGCCATGATATGTGGTTCTGAGCCGCAACAGCACCGAGTCGCGGAGCTCGGCGTATCTCGAGAAGGTCCAGTCTCCAGCGCACGGGGGCATCGTCAGTTCGCGTTGAGGGAACATCGCTACCAGAAGCACAAGAGACAATCACAGTCACTGTCGTATGTGCATAACCACCGGCATAGTATGCCCTTGGGAGGTCTCCTCTGATTGCCGCTTACCAGCCTCACTGGTACATCGCGCACACCAGCATTCCGGCATGCTAGCAAACAGTTTGACCATTGAGCTTTAGAACGACCTGGCTGAAAGATGTCGACGGGCCGGCGACTCACGAAAGCATGGCAACGCAATCCGACGCTCATGCATGTGCGAGACGGTAGGGTGCGGACAAGAAATGGCATTCGATTTCGGAGGACGTGGTGGTGGTGGTGGTGGTGGTGGGAGCAGAGACCCCAACAAAGCGGCAGCATTGATCAAATGCTGCTGACGTCACGCGCAATCAATGCGACACTACACGCATTTAATCATTGGTAATACATCGAAGTGCGTTTTGAGGTGCGATGTCATCCGTAGCTCATTCAGCGTGATGCTACTATCATAGTCTCTACATATCATCCCACAGCCGTTTCCAAAACGAGCGCGGCCCTTTTGCTTCTTGCTCTTGGATGAAGCGCTGCTCTTCTTCGTCGATGTCGCGGAGACCTGTGATGAGATCGACTTGCTCAGACGGTATGACTTTCGTCCTGTAGAACAGCTTGTAGCCCGCCCAGAAGACAACAAACGTAGGTAGCCCGATGTACTACATCAAAAGATCAGCATTACTACAGACACGATGGTAATACCTTGAAGACTCACCGCGGTCACGAATGTGCCCGTCACGAAGGGCATGAACGTGTCAAATCCTGTGAGGAATGTATCAGTACCACTGTAAAGGGGGATGGAACGAAATCGCGCACCCTTGAAGAGAGTGATGATGGCCGTTGAGACGAGCGCAAACCAAGAGCCGTAGGGTTGCCATGGTGCCTTGTAGGGTAAAGTGTCACGGGAGATCCCTTGGACTTTCAGTGCCTTCATGAAGCGTCTATTGGATGGAATGGTTAGATCTCAAACAGCGTTTCTCGGGGGCTATGAGCACTCACATGTGTGAATAGCTGATGCACATCCAAGTGATCGCACCGAAGGTCGACACAAGGTTCACGCTGAGCATAAGATCGTCAGATTTATGACTGACAGCACCATTGCAATGCAGCTCACAAGTAACCGAACACTATGCACAATCAGTCTCAAGTTATGCTAGATGGTGATATAGCTTACCTTTCGCCGAGGAAGTGGACACGTTCAGGAAGACGAGACCGCAGAAGGCCGTGCATAGGATAAGCGCCGGCCAAGGTACACCTTGGCGATTCACCCGTTTGAAGATGGCAGGAGCTTTTCCCTCGAGCGCAAGGCCATACAAAGTACGGGAGCCGATGTACAAGTCAGAGTTGGCGGCGCTCAGCACGAAGAGGAGAATGCAAGCGTTGATGATATGGTTGAGGACTCTGATCCCGACGAGGGTAGTTGCTAAGAGTGGAAGGGCGATTAGCCTCGTATCAGTGAGAGAAAGGGCTGCTGCGCACCGACAACGAATGGCGAGGCAGCTGCGCCCGTCTTGGAGCTGTTAGCCACGAAGAGGTCCTTCACAGTACGAGGCACAATCATTCCGAGGATGAAGACACCGCCTGCTCCCAATGGATCAGAGACTGGCATTCCGTGTGGGCAGAGACAACGCACCGATGTAAAAGACGACAATACGCCAGAATGTCCTTCTGATAGCGATGGGGATGTTCTTCCTCGGATTCTGAGCTTCTCCGACTGTTACACCGATGAGTTCAGTCCCAATGAACGCGAACAGAGCGTTGATCAAGGTGCTCCAAAATCCTGATCAGCCAAGATGTCAGTAAAGCACGGCGAATACACTGTAACTGATTGGGTAGATACCTAGGAAGGTCGCCAAGTGCGGATTGTGCACCCTGTCCGCGAGATATGAACCCATAGGTCCATTTGGAGGTTGCCAGTACCGGAAACCAATGCGATCATGTTCAGGATTACCTGGATACACGCATTAGTCGATTTCCCTTGGCTTCAGTAGAGCGATCGCTCACCTCCAAGGTCGATGATCAGCCCCATGAGGAGCAAACCGACAAGCGTTATGACCTTGAATGAACTGAACCAGAACTCGAACTCTCCGAAGAAGCGCACGCCCATAAGGTTAACGCCGAAGATGAACGCGATGAAGATGACCATGAATACGGCTATGTGAACCTTCTTGGTCCAGTACTGGATGACTGCGCCAGCAGCATTGATGTTGTTTGGAGTGACAATCAGATACTTCCTGGCGCAGGTCACAAGTTGAGTGTATAGTTCTTGAGCCAGATGAGGCAACTCACAGCAGATAGTTCCATCCGAGTGCAAACCCGAATGCCGGGTCCACAAAGCGGGTAGCGTATCCGGAAAAGCCTCTCTTGTGCGGCAGGTATGCGGACATCTCGCCCAGTCCCGTGAGCACGAGATAACAGACAAGCCCGACGAACGAGTATCCAAGAAAGATGCCAAGAGGTCCTCCGCGAACAAGCGCGGTACCAGACCCGATGATCAGACCGGTACCAACTGCTCCGCCCAGCTGAGATAAGATGCACTTCAGTACTGGTCCCGGGGCACAACGACCAAGCAAGACGTACAGCGATCATGGATATCTGTCGGGCCTGCAAGCCGCGATGCAACGTCTCTCCCGTCTCCTCATTCTCCCCGACAGCTTGAGCATCTCCAGCGCGATAGGAGGCTTTCTCGTCGAACGAGCCAGAGGAGCGCTTCTCTGAGAACGAAGCCATCGTGGTCCGCAGCGAGGTCTTCCTATGAGGGGATCCGGAGCAGCCAGGCTACACCGGTAGAAGCACAGGCAGCTATATAGTATGCCACACTTATCAGCGCCCTCGCTGCGCTGCCGCGCTTCGCCAAGGCGTGCGGATGACGGATAGGTTTTCTAGCGGGTATCGCGCGGAGCACGGCGTCTATCAATAGGGAACAAAACGCAATCCCATTGCGCGAGAACGCAATCCAGGGCTGGGTATTCAGAAGCCCCGGAAAGTGTAGTGCCTTGACTCTGCTACTTAAGCGGAATATTTGACGAGAGACGAGCCGGATGTACGGGTGTACACTGGGCTACGGCGCGCGAGGTGTTATCGCTCAATTGCAACGAAGTGACATGAACAGCTGACGGCATGCTGGCCAGCCAAGAAGTGGTGAGGGACGACCCTGCAGGAGAGGATATGAAGATCGTAGGTCCAAACAGCTTGGAACTGCTGGTACAAGATTGTGTGCCTGAGGCTGCAATGTGGTAAACCAACCAAAGGTTTGATGGTGGTGGCGAAAAGCAGGGCGTGGCGAAGCGCAGTCGAGCGCGTCGGACGCGGACCCATCTACGCCTACGCCTACGCATGGTGATACTCACAATCTTGGGTCAAGCAAATGATTCTCCTTCTACAACAACACTATGACGACTACAAGCAAGTAAACCAAGAAATACAACAAGCAAGCATTCCAATTTCCAAGAACAACCACCCTCTATTCACACATGCAACTTCAAGCGATCATTGCCACTGCTTTCGCAGCCGCCGCCTTCAACCTGCTCTCCCCTTCGCGATTCGCTTCCTTCTCCAGCAACGGCTTCACTTCCTGAACAAAGCGCTCGCGCTCCTCCTTCCGCGAGTCGTTCTCCACGGGCTTCGACACCTGACCGAGCAATAGGCAGGTGTTGATGCAAATCTCCTCCGGAAAGCGCTTAGACTTGGCGCGCAGGACATAGATCAACATGTCGAATGCACGACCTGGCGCTGCCGTAGGTGACATAACAACTGCCGAATCGGGGTCGTCGATGCTCGCGGTAGGCTGAGGAGCAGGGGTTTCGGCCGGTAGAGGTACAGTGAGCGCGTCCAAGACGAGATTCGCTATAGATACAGTGAGTATGAACACTCTCAGCAAGGTAAGAGCATGACATACCACCAGTCGGTGTCAAGCTCAACAAGGTCAAACCAACAACTCCCTCATTCACAAGGAGCGGGTACTTCTTGCTGCGTCCAATGAGCTGGGCGAGCGCGTTCGCGACGTCTGTGCTCGTCATAGCGCCCATTGCTGCGCGACGTGCGTCGCCTTCTGGTGCCGCAGATGACCAAAGGGTGCGCGCAGCGTTGATGAGCACTCGTGTACCCTCGGACTTGATGGCCGTCTTGTCCGAACGGCCAATCAAAGCGAGAAGCTTGCGAAGACCGGATGAAGAGCTATCAGCAAGGCTTGGGTCGAGGATGAACGCGAATGTGTTCTCGGCTGGAAGGTGTTAAGACGAGAGGATGCTGGGAGCATTTGCTGAACGCACCATTGCCGCTGACTAGGTTCTTGACAACGCCGATTGCGTTGACCTGCACAGTCTCTGCGAGGTCGGCTGGTGGATCGAAGATCCCGCTCTCCAGTAACCTCGGGATAATCCGGGCGCCAGCCAACGGTGCGCGAGTACCGGGAGTGTACGCAAGGTGCCGCAAAAGTCCAATAGCACCATGCTTGACCTTCATGTCAGCTTCAGGCGCCAGGATCGCGGAAAGTGCCGGGCCAATGCCAATAGGCGCGCTGACAATGGCGAGGGAATGCGCCTCATGTCGGACGAGGTTGCCCAGGGCCAACGTCGCGCAGATGACGAGGTCGTCGCGTGAACTGGGTTTGCTGAAGTCCGCATATGCGTTCTCCTGTATCCAGCGCACCATGCGAGTGACAAACGCGCCACCAGGTGCAGAGGCGTCACTATCGTCCCATAGCACATCCGTGTTCTTCTCCTCGCCTGCCACTTCCACCACAACCTTGACCAACGCCGCCTTGCACATATCAAATGCTTTGCTACGGCGGGCAGCCTCTTGCGAGGACTCCAATGAAGACCACAATGGGTGATGCGTGCCACTATCGATGAAGGTCAAGATGTCAGTGAGGCACGCAGTGCCACCGTGTTCGTCCGGGTTCATAAGACCCCGCGCCAAGGACAGACGGGCATCCTCATCGTCCATTACCAGGCCTTCCAACGTGGAGCATGACTCTTCGAAAATCTCGAAGTCGGTGGCAGCGAGCGTCCGAGCGAGCGCTTGTGGGAAGAGCGCGGGAAGCTCATCAGGCTGAGATGGGCTAAATGCCTGCAGCGGGCGCGTCAACTCGGGCAGAGCACTAGTCTCATAGATTGGTTCTGCTGAATTGGCGATGTCAGTTAGGGATATGTCGGATAGGCAGGGGTAGCGAGTGCGTACATTCTTCTCGCAGCTCGTCGAGTGCGCGCCATGCCCAGGATGACAGTCCGCTGCGAAGCGTCCACGATTCCCGAACTTCCTCTTCGGACGGCGAACCGGCCTCTTTCGGAAAGAGATCCCGAGCGATGGGTGCCAGCCAGGAGCCAGGTGGGTACACAGAGGTGGATATTCTGAGTATCGTGTGCGCAGACTCGACCAAGACGTCCTTTACTGGCTCTGTGACAAGGGTGGCGCTTTGGTTGAGTGATGAATGATGAATGATGACGGCGTCCCATACCATATCCCACGGTTGCGTTTACAAGGACTCCCATGGATGTCTTGATGACTTTGAGTTCGGGTATAGAGAGGGGTTGGGGTGTCGCGTATGTGGGGGATTGGTTGAGCTTGATATAGGCCTCTAGGAGGGAGACGATTGACTGAGGGAACTCGACGTCTAGTAAGTGCTGACGGTTCTCGTCTATGACAGACCGTTGAATATAACCCTAGGATAATCAAGGGAGTTGTGTACCATGGTCCATGCAGAGATTGGCCGCCACACGAAGAATCTCGTATAACGCGGGCAGATATTCCGGGGTTGGTGTGGCCGACGCGTTCAGTGCGGTCCTGAGCACGGTGTTCAACGCGCTAGGTACTCCACCCTGACCAAGAGCAGTCTGGTTGTCATCTACAGCGGCCAGTCAGAGTCTTACAGCGACTTCTCGGGCAATACAAGGACGCAGACATTCGGGTTTCCTCACGCGCAACGAATCGGCCAGTCCACGCGCCGAGGTCTCGATCTCGCCGAGGGCGGCGGGATTCGGTAGACCGCCTGCCGCAGCTACGAGCTTCTTGGAGAGATCGAGGACGGCCGGTTCGGCAGCCATCGGGAGGTAGTGGTGGGAAGAGGCAAGGAAAGTAGTATACCGGTTGCTGCTTCGTTGAGATTAGATCGCAACTCCTGCTTCTTCTCCAACCGCCATCACGAACCTGAGTACACCCACTCTAAGTGGCTTTCTCCTCTTTCCCTGCGGCTCGCACGCGCTCGCACTCGTGCCACAATAGTGTGCGATAGTATCTGTACCCGTTATTCCCAGTGCTGCTACCTCATGTAGAGTAATAACACATACGAGGCTTTCGCGTGTCTACTCTACATACGCCCTTTGCCCCACTTGAGAGTCGCGTGCGGCGCTTCAATCGTACTCATCCGACGGATATCCTTCCGAATGCATTCAGTACCGCACGCGCTTTTCTGATCCACTGTGCTACCCCATATCCCTGGAAGTCCCCTCATACTCAAGATGGTAGTAGTCGCACCGATCTCGACGTTAGTACAACGAGTATGCTGTTACTAGCGGTGTGATCGCCAATGTCGACTGTCCCACGAAATACATCACCATCTTGACACGCACATACGGCACCATCTCAACATGCCACCCCATCGCAAAAGGGCAGTCTATACCCCGTATATATAGCAATATCAAGCAGTTATGAATCCACGTGGACGCGATGACGAGAGAGTTGATTGGCTAACGCGAGATGATCAACGCGCGCCGCGGCGCGGAGACGCGCCTGAGTCTCACCGTCCATCTCCCGCTCACTGTACGAACTATATACCCAGTCCTGCCTGCGTCAAGACTCGCGCAATCATGACGACGCCGGGCCAAGATGCCAAGTTCTTCCAGCGCGGCAAAATCCAGGTGCGCAATACGTGCATCTCGTGATCAAGCTGTCAAGCAGGCGCTCAACCATGAATGCACTCTTTGTAGGAGTTTCGGGCAGAGTTACAAGCTGCCGAGACGAAGGACAAGAAGTTTGTGAAGCGCAAGACGGTGCTGAAGAAGATCGTCGCGAATATCACCATGGGCAACGACAGTTAGTCCGTCCTGGCTCGACCGTGGCAAGCGCGCGTGCACTGAGCGCTATGATGAATAGTGTCACCATTATTCACGGACGTGGTGCAGTGTCTTGGCACGCCGTTACTTGAGATCAAGAAGAGTACGCGTGGTGTATTGTATCTGACATGCTGAATTATAACGGTGTAGTACAGTGGTCTACCTGTTCCTGGTGTATTATGGCCGAGCCAAGGCCGACCAGATCCATCTCGTTATACCCAGCTTCCTACAGGTGCGTGTGGCACAGTCATGCATACGCCATATCTCTACTAACCAGTGACCTGTAGGACTGCAACGACCGAAGTCCACTCATCCGCGCCCTCGCCATCCGCACCATGTCCTACATCCCCATCCCCGTCGTCCTGGACAACTTAACCGACCAACTCCGCCACGCGCTCAAAGACCGAGACGCATATGTCCGCAAGACCGCCGCCATATGCGTAGCCAAACTCTACACGGCCGACCCGCGCAAGGCAGAACGCGGCCGGTTCGTTGAGGCGCTGCGCGAGTTGTTGAACGACGCGAACGCCACGGTTGTCGCCAATGCCGTTGCCGCGTTATCTGAGATTGCAGATAGGCCGGATGGAGTCATCTTCAGATTGAACCTCGCAACGGCGAATAAGCTCGTTACGGCGTTGGGCGAGAGCTCGGAGTGGGGACAGATATACATCGTGGACGCGTTATTGCGCTTCGTGCCGCAGACGCATGGCGAGGCGGAGATCCTGGGCGAGCGCGTCATTGTGCAACTACAACATGCAAACTCTGCTGTCGTGCTCACGACGACGAAGCTCTTGCTGTTCCTTATGAACTACATGGAAAACCGTCGGTTGATTGACTACATCTGTAAGAAGATGGGACCTCCGTTGGGTGCGTGCATCCTTGAGTTTTACTGGCACGCATGAGATGCTGATGTGCCATTCAGTCACGCTGCTCTCCTCCGGTCCAGAAGTGCAATACGTCGCACTACGGAACATCCTACTCATCATCCAGCGAAGACCGAGCGTGCTCAAGAACGACGTCAAAGTCTTCTTTTGCAAGTATAATGACCCGATCTACGTCAAGCTCGCCAAGCTGGAGATCATGTACCGGCTCGCGGGTGAGGAGAATGCGCGCGAGGTTCTCGCCGAGTTGGAGGAGTATGTCGAATCCAAGACCTTCAACTATGATACGTGCTGATGAACTGTAGGTACGCGTCAGAGGTCGACCTTGACTTCGTCCGCAAGGCGGTCCGCTCGATCGGGCGTCTAGCCATCAAGGTCGAAGCAGCCGCGGACGCCTCGATCAAGACCCTGCTCTCCCTTCTCGAGACGAAGGTCACATACGTCGTCCAAGAAGCCACCATCGTTATCAAAGACATCTTCCGTCGTTATCCTGGCAAATACGAGGGCATCATCCCGACGTTGTGCGAGAACCTCGACCTTCTCGACGAGCCCGAGGCGAAAGCGGCCATGATCTGGATCCTCGGTCAATTCGCAGATCGAATCGACAACGCCGATGACCTTCTTGACGATCTCACGTATAACTTCTTGGAAGAGACAACGGAGGTGCAGCTCGCGTTGCTCACGGCCAGCGTCAAGCTTTTCATCTACAAGTCCAACGTGCAATCCGTCAAGACGTTGGTGCATAAGGTGTTGAAGTGGGCTACGGAGGACGTGGACAACCCCGATTTGCGTGATAGAGGATTCATGTACTGGAGGTTGCTGGCGATCAATCCGGCTGTGGCTGGAGAGATTGTGCTCGCGGAGAAGCCGCCCATCACGACGGATAGCGATAGGATGGATCGTGGGGCACTGGACCAGTTGCTCATGCACACGGGTACTTTGGGTAGTATATACCATAAGAATCCCGAGGTCAGTTTCCGCTGTCGTTCATCTGTAAGTCTGGCGCTGACCCTCTTGCAGACCTTCATTCGTGGCGCAGCAGGCAAAGCGCTTACAGATAGCCCTGCTCTCAATGCACACAGCCGACAAGTGCTCGTATCACTTGCCCGCGAACCACCACCATCCATCGACAAGATTCGCGTCGCAGGCCCTGGTCCCGTCGAACCTGGCATGGCTGCTGCGACCGACAAACCCGCACCACCATTGCCCACAGGCGCAGAGCCTGACGCGGATCTACTCGGTGAAGACGATGACGACACGGGTAACGGCGCGGGTAATGACAGTGACGCGGAAGAGGAGCGCGCGGGCGATAAGGCGCGCCCAGCAGCAAGTACGGTCGAGGACCCATACTCCAATCTCGACGCACTGGGCAGCTTCGGTGGATCGAGCTCAGGCAATGCACGACAACAGCCGCTCGAGCATGAGGAACTGCTGATATAGGACTGTATTCCGATATGTTAGCGTGTATATTATGGAAGGAGATCTATTGCTACATTCATTGCGCGTTTGATGTATTGTGTATGGTGCGGAGATGTGAGACTGAGATAGATACGCAAGAGGATAGTGAGATGACCGCTATGATGAGACCAGGTTCTTGAGAGGACTTGTGACACGCGCGATGCCGTGCGGTCGGGGCCGTAAGGAGTTGTAATGCTGCAAGTAATATATATGTGAGTGATGGGGCGGTGTGGGGAGCAGGAACGATGATATACCTCTCCCAACCCGTACATCCGTCTATGGTAGCTGATGCGACATGCTCGGGCATGCTTGAGATCGCCATCTGCAGCATCCGCACCATTGGGATCATGCACGACCACATGCGGCTGTCCAGACTGAACGACATGTATAGGGACGTTGTAAACCTTGCTGAGCGCCAGAATCTCCGGTTCACCGCCCCATGTCCCGGTATCCCGCATTGTCGCACAGTAGTTCTCAAACTCTTTCGGGCTCATCACATCATCTCCCACTTCGCTCGGCAAGAACGGCAAGAACTCGTCAGGGTGAGAGTACATATACCCTGCCGCAGCATGTCTTGTAGTCGCGTATGAAGCTTTGGGACCGGGAAGTATATTGAGTATTGCGAGCTGGTCTGCGACGGCAGAGAATAGACAGTGTCCGTCCGGATTGATCTCGTGCATCTCCAGATCGAGCTTGTCCAGCATCTTCTTGATCGTCTTCTCTTCCTCCTCCGCCTCCCTCTGCAACCTCGCATCGGCGTCCGCATCCGAAGCCGGCGCCGCCTCTGCCAGAGCCTGCGCCTTGCGCGCCTGTCTCGCGCGCCACCGACTCCTCGGGTCCTTCTTCTCCTTCTCTTTCGTATCCAGCTCTCCATTCGACACCACCTCCTGCACAATCGCCGCAGACTCCTGCTGTACCGCCGCATCTCGCGCATCCAGTTGAGCAAGGAGGTCGTCCATCAAATCATCGTCGGGCGGATTGTCTGGGGGTGGAGGCGTAGAGGGCGAGACCATCTTCTTGAGTTTGTTGCGTTTGCTGCCCATGATGCGCAGGTAGTGGTGGTGGTGGTAAGGGAGTAAGCTAAGGGCTGAGGGGTGGGTACGTGCCTCGGAGTTGTACAAAGCTTAGATCTATGGGATCTTATCCGCGCCGTCGGCGCGCGCGCGATGCCCACGCGGATATATGGATCCGGGCGGCTGGCCTCGGCTTCTTGCTTCATACGGTCGCCATCGTCATGTCCAGGCAACATCCGCCTGCTATATCCCCCGTCTTGCGTGCGGGCCTCGGGAGTCGTGCACAAGAGTCCGTCGATGGCTTCTTGAAAGCACTGAAACTACACACTCGACGATTGAGCTCTGTTATGGAGGCACATGCTGCTGAACTTGGATTACTTGAGAGACTTTACTATAAGGGCAAGAACCAACATGGTGCTTCTCTGCTTTGGGGTCGTGTACGCGAAATGCGTCGATATGTGCAGAGATTACGTGACCTGGACTTGCTTGTGGCGACTCAGAACCTACGCGCTGCTTTCTATGGCGAGACGACCACGGCATCGTGTGTGGCGCTTTATCAACTTCGTTAAGCCGTTTTCTTTGCTGAACGAGGTTTAGGACAAAGAAGTTAAGGGGATCATGGACGCACTATCCGGACTCACGATACTTGACATGGCTTCTGCGCCATCTAAGCACCGCCACAGAACTGGCCGACAAAGTAATGAACCCCACTTCGTACCCTGAGCTGTCCGGCGCTGACATCGTGCCAGACTGCAACGAGCATGCTTCGTGTATTTGAGTAAGCGTTTTACTTGCTTCTCGAGACCACATCGCACTCATCATGGTGCAGATGGATCATGTTATTCATGCAGAATGGCGAGTTCTTGCAAATGACCGTCACTTTCTCGGCTTTGGCAGCACGCTTCCGTCACCTGAGTATTCAACTACGGCCGCTGGCTCGCCTAATGCACGAAGATATGCGAACCGTACTGGTGGCTCTCTATGTGCGTATAGAGTATTCCCCGCAGCTTAAGTCTCACAGCTCATATCATCAAAGCCCGAGAAGGCCAAGAATGTGTCTTCGCTGACAGCCCAACAACGGACAACCGCACCAATGCAGAGCGAGCTGATGACACAAGACGAGGTTACGCATGCAGACGACCACGACATGAACATCGACGAGGACCTTGGTGTATCCGTGTCTCGTATACAATCGATGTCTGACACCGTTCCTATCGCTCCAGTGTCCACGTCCATGACGCTTGACCCGCATCCCATCGCGAAACCACCTCCAGGTATGTCGCTGATCCTCCGCTTGATCACGATCACCACTGACGCCTCGTATAGTCGTGCACAAAGCAAAGCCAACGATCTCTGCACCCAAAGGCGGCGGCGTGATCACTAAGAAGCGGAAGGACGCCGAACCTGCTCCTACACCAGAACCGCAGAAGAAGGTCAAAAAGAAGAAGGCGAAACGCGATGAGATTGACGATATCTTTGGTTGACGGATGTGTATTGTACGCGATACATTGGTCCCCGCGCTACATGTACGAGCGCCTGCCGCCGCGTTGCAACGACGCGCGGCTTGTCTTGCCATGGATGATCTTGGACCTTGCTCAGCGCGCCCACTACATACTCTCGCACCTTACTCATCATCTGGGACGGTTTGTCGACCTCCAGACTGGTGCATGTGCTTTCCAGAGAGTGCGCGCTGCAAGGCGTCAATCTCAAGTGCGCTGTTCGTACCTATGATCACGGGCGCTTAGACAGTGGCGCGTCCATCGTAGGTCGCGAAGCGAGAATCCCGCCGGTTGTTCGAGCTGTGTAGGGCGCCTTCTGTTTTTAGAGTTGTACATGCTAGATCTTTTTCGCTGTGAAGATCTCGCCACTGCGGCGCGCTCGCTCACTCTGCCGGACGTTTCCGTCCCATTCACTCATCAGTACCTTGTGCTGTTCACAACAGCTTGGTATCCTCGTGCACTGCGCGATCTTGTGGTCTTTTGCGGTTTCAAGATGTCGGCGGACCGTGGCGTGGCACAATTATCAGGTCGGGAGTTCGTTGTGTCCCTTGCCAACTGCGCCCAGAGTTGAGATTCGGGGGCCGTGTGGTGGCCGTGAGCCCGAAGCAAGAGCGCACTGCTAATGTAGGGAGTATGAATTCGATATCATCGCTTGGTTGAAGTCTCGACCAACTGTCTCGACAGTGGTAGCCCACGAAATGGCCACGGTATTCCCCGACTGGCACAGACGAGGCGTCAGCACTGTGGCCTAAGAGCCTGTCGTTGAAGGGTCGCAGAGATAAGAAGACTGAGTATTCAGCTTCGACGTGCGTCTAATCATCCATGCCAGTATCCCAACCCGACTGGCTCAATGGTAGAATCAATCGCCAGGTAGCGCCGAAGCGCACGCGGCCTGACCCGAGCGCTTAAGTGATCAATGCAGGTTCCCGCCCAATATATGCAAGCGCCCAGGTTCAGGCAGAAATGGCTCAAATGATATATGACAAGGCACCCAAGTCTTTCTTGGGATACTCGTCAGAGGAAGGTCTACGCGTGATGACCCTAGCGAGCGTCTATTTCAATCATTCTACGGCCGGTAAAGTCGCGCGCGAGATCGCGAGTATCGAGGACATCGCATCGAGTGCTGCACTCGGCGGAGCACTTATTGTGCACTAGTCCCCGTCGAGTTCAAACGTTCTGAACGCCGGACGCGCATGGGTAATCCAGAGTCTATGCACGAATCCGAATCCTGGGAAATTGCGCCCTATGACTGAGATGCCAGAAAGTTCAGAAACGGCTCCGAGCATACGGACAGTGTCTGCCATTCCAGATTACGTGCAGAATGCAAAGTGGCACAACGTTCAGTGGCAACAAGCATGGTGATCGCATATATCGCTAGTGTTCGCCGTTGTATTCGGCGCTTGCGGGCTTGTACCCTCGGAAACCACCCGCCTCTCGGTGAGTAACGCGGCGCGTCTTCCGAGTTTACCCTCGGGCGTTCAAATCGCTACTTTCGATCCCCGAAAGGCCAACCAAACGAGTGATGACCGTCCGCCCGTGGAGCCTTGACGGAGGGTGCAGGATGAAGGGAAAGGAAGGCGAACCGTAGCTGGACGCGTACGGCCCGAGCGAGCCGATTACGTCATAATCTCTCACCACGTCTGAATCCGACTGCGAGCCGCATGTTCAACTCACCACTCACCTCCACGGTCTAAGGCATATAGTCCCTCATTTCTACGCGTCATACCCGTACAACCCTATCCGATACATGTTGCGCTTCCATCGACAATGCACGCTCTCCACAGGGCTATTCATTTAAGTTTATCTTGGTAGCTTTATTGCATGGCGTCGCTTGAGAGAATCGCAGAATAACCGCATTGGGCGTGCGCAGGAATGCGTCAGAGCTTCAACTGGATGTTTGCTCTTTGATGACCCTGGATGCATCGCGTCACCTCAGTCTAGCAGATGTCGGCGAACTTGGGCGCTTGCCGGCGGACGTCGGCCCCGCTCATGCCTCAATCCGGCCCTCCCGCAAGCGCTGGCCTCGGCACTGCACAGGGCGCACGCTGAATTGGTCGCACTGTAGGCTCAGCGCTTCGAGCCTGAGGGCAACCCGAAACGTTCTCACCCAAAGCTGAATCATCGGCGAACGCATCCCGGAGGCATTTCTTGGTACCTTTGGTATACACTTGCTAATGACTGCGTCGGTATCCCTGGAGGCCCCGGGCCAGTATAAAGAGCTCACAGGGCCACTGCTAATCCCCAGTCATCAGTTGACTTTCATCTCTTCTCACCTGTTCTCACTACAGCGACGAACGGGTCCTCAACATGCGTATTTCCTTCACCCTTCCTTTTCTCATCTCTGGACTGGAGGCTCTCGCCGCCACCGTCAGCAAGACCCTCACTATCGCTAACGCAGAACTCAGCCCTGATGGCTTCTCTCGCACGTAAGTCGATGCTCCTGAGCTGTTCCACCACAGTTGACTGGATCTCTGTCGCCAGTGGTGTCACGGTCAACGGGGAGTTCCCCGGTCCTGTCATTACTGGAAACAAGGTACGCAGCTTCTTCATCGCATACGTGGCACTAGCTCATGGGATACCTAGGGCGATACTTTTGAGATCAACGTTGTCAATAACCTGAACGACGACGACCTCCACCTTGTGACCGCCGTCGTGAGTACTCGTACCAAACTCCTCGCGCCACATATTGAGCCTTGCATTTCGCAGCACTGGCACGGGTTCTTTCAACAAGGTACCAATGAGATGGACGGAGTAGACACTGTCACGCAGTGCCCTATCACGCCGACGTCTGGATCGAACTCGTTCACGTACAAGTTCAACTCTGGTGATCAGGGTGAGTCCTCCATTCCGCATTGATTCTCGAGTAAGTAGCTGATCAACTTGCACTATCAGCGGGAACTTACTGGTATCACTCGTGCGTCTTCGCTCTTCTTATTCATCCCGTGAACCTGTATTGACAGACGTTCAGGCATTACAAGACCCAGTATTGTGACGGACTCCGCGGCGCTTTGGTCGTCTACGATCCCAATGACCCCCATAAGAGTCTATATGACGTCGACGACGAGACAACGATCATCACCCTTGGCGACTGGTATCATTTCAACTCCCCGCAGGCGCCCATCATCGGTCAGTGTCTCATGATAGATCTTCGACAGATTCATTACTGACAATCCCCGGATAGTATATTTCAACTCTACTGTCATCAACGGGAAAGGACGTTATATCGATGAATTTGGCTCGAACCTCACGAACGAGCTTGCTGTTGTCAATGTCAAGGCTGGAACTAGGTACCGCATGCGGCTGATCTCCATGTCTTGCGACCCGGTGAGAAGGTTTGCCTCATGTTAAGATGCTTTGCTCTAATCAGAATTGTGTAGAACTACACGTTCAGCATTGACAAGCATCAGATGACTATCATCGAAGGTAAGACATGCATCTCCATCTCTTACGAACCCAATACTCAACCCTTTCTCAGTTGAAGGGACCAATGTCCAGCCGCTCGAGGTCGACCAGATCCAGATCTTCGCTGGCCAGCGCTACTCGTTCGTACTCAATGCCAACCAGCCCGTTGATAACTACTGTGTGTTCACCCATTCTATTCCCTTCGTTTCGTGGCACTCATCTTCCGCGTAGGGATCCGCGCCTTCCCTGACTCAGCGAGCCCCAACACGCTTGCGCAGACCTTCGATCACGGCCTCAACCAGGCGATCCTCCGTTACGCCGGTGCTGCTACTGCGGATCCCACTACCACGAACTCCTCTACACTTCCTCTCCTCGAGACCAACCTGCACCCGCTTACCTCGACACCTGTTCCTGGCACGCACGCCGCCGGCAAGGCGGATCAGACGCTGACCCTCAACATTGAATTCGTGAGTCTTATGGTTCGTTGTCCGTGCGATTCATGTGCTGATGCTCCTGCGCAGGACGACGCAACCGGCTTTGCGGTCAACAACGTCGCCTACGCGGCTCCGTCGGTGCCCATTCTCCTGCAAATCCTGAGTGGCAACACGAGCGCTGCGGAGCTCATGCCCAAGGGTAGCATCTACGAGCTCCAGCCGAACACGGTCGTCGATATCGTCATGCCCGGAGGCTCTCGCGGCGGCCCGCACCCGATGCACTTGCACGGTCACAACTTCTGGGTCGTTCGCAGTGCCGGCAACTCGACTTACAACTGGGACAACCCTATCGTCCGCGACGTGGTGTCCATCGGCAACGACGCTACGGATGATGTGACCATTCGCTTCGAGACGAACAACCCCGGCCCTTGGTTCATCCACTGGTGCGTTTCGTAATCCCGTCATGTATACCTGAGATCTAACGAATCTTCAGCCACATTGACTGGCACTTGAACACCGGTCTCGGAGTCGTCATGGCCGAGTCGCTCGCCAATGTCGCCAGCGCCAACCCGCACACCTGTATGTTACTTTCTCAATCTTCCGGCGGCTTGCATCTGACTGTTGCACAGCGAGCTGGGATGCGCTGTGCCCTGCGTACAACAACTTCGTTGCTGCGGACCCTAACTCCCTTTGATCATCTATTGGACTCTATTTTCACTCTCCTTGTTTCGGTGTCTTGACTCTATCTAACTGTCGACCTCATTCCTTGGGATTATCTGTTGTACATATCGCGCATCTAATCTTAAATAATATCCAGTATCGCCATGTCATCTATGTGTGCTCTTCCCCTGCTTTCCAGCTTGCTGTGCGCGCGCTTGCCCAGAACTATCTGGCAGCGGTACATCGCATACTGTCACGAGACCGGACAGTCATCTCGGCCTCATGTTTCTCAGCGTTCGTCTGGGTTCACTGATCTATGGACCACGCACTCCGCTCAACGACTTGTACGTCCCGGAAAGCTTCGTCATATCGTAGTTGCACTATTATTATTGAAGACGGGGCATATCTAGTGATAGTTGGAGGGACGTCCCGTTGGCGTAACAGAGGATAATTTAGCCCCAGTCTGTAGCAGGCGGCTTGGAATCGTAACACCAGCACCTGTGCTCTTGTGCGGCTCATCTACCACTATGAGTTGATTGTACAACATGCTTGTTCGTTACACACACTCCAGTCGGTCAAGAAAACAACAAGCGTACTAGACAATATTCCGGCTTTGCGCGAGCTCATCACACGTTCACACAAGGAAGACGTAGGTTCACCGGCGAGCAAGCGCAATCGCATTTACAGTGAAACCCGTAGCTATGACCCAAGGCAAACCTAGGACAAGGTCAAGATGACAAGAGGAAAAAGTAGGAAAAGAGGTAAGGGTAGAGGGGAGTGGGTAAAGGTCGAGACCAAACGCGACACTGAAGGCAATAAGTCAGGTGCAAACTGGTTAGGAAAGTGTCCGCAGTCCACTACGAGTACTGTCCGAGATTCTGAACAACAAGCACGAGAACGTCCGCAACTAGGCGATGTATGGAAAGAGAGTCCGAATGCTCTGTAATGGGAGATGTTGCGGCGGGGGTATAGCGTAAGAGAGATTGTCCGACTATTCACAGGAATGAAACAGGCTGCTCAAGGCATTTAGAGCGCGAAGAACGCCGCGGCGATGGCGACGATCGCAACACCGACGCGGGGCGACGCGAGCGCACCGGCACCACCGGTGGCAAGGTTGCCGCTGGCAGCAGTGGACGAGGGCGTGGCAGCAGAGCCGGCGGCCGACGCGCTCGCGGAGCCAGCAGCGGCAGCACCGTTGGCGGGCGCGGCACTCGACGCAGCGAGCGAAACGTCAGGCGGGACCATCATGCTGCCAGCGGCGAGGCGCGAGAAGTCGAGCTGACCGTCATCGCCGATGGCCTCAGAGTTGGCGGCCATGAACGAGCGAGTGTAAAGGACGTTGTCAGCCATGGGACCCATCGCCCAGTCGGGCATCTTGGCAAGGTCGATCGAGGCACCCCAGTTCGAGGCCGGGCCGGAGATGGCAGCGTTGGCAGACATGGCGGCGGCGGTACCCGAGTTGTTGGCAGCGATGGCGGGCATCATGCTGTTGACCGAGGTGGGTGCGACGAAGGCGTTGGGCGGGTTGATGATACCGAACATGCCCTTCTGGCAATGGTTGGGGACACCACAGTAGAAGAACGTCGGGTCGGTGTTGTTGACAACCTGCTCGAAGACGAAGCTCGCGTTCTGGACACCGGAGGCGAAGGGTGCGTCATCGGTCTTGTTGCACAGCTCGAGCTCGGAGCTCTTGGTGACGGTGTGCGGGCCTGCCATCCAGACGAACTTGACGGTGTCACCGACGGACGCGTTCACGGCGAAGGGAACGTAGCGGAGGACACCCTGCGTCGGTGCGACGATGACGGTGTGGGTGGCGCCTGAGCCGGACGAGCCCGAGTCGGAGGACGACGAGTTGCTGGAGCTCGAGTCGCTCGAGGACGAGCCGTACGAGCTCGACGACGAGGGCATCGACATGGAAGACGGCGCGCCGTACTGGGAGACGCACTGCTGCACACAGCTGTCGTAGCTGCTGCTCGAGCCGTAAGAGGACGAGCCAGAGCCGTACGAGGGGTAGTTGTACGACGACGAGGACGACGAGGAAGTGTAAGCGGCGGCCGCGGTCGTCGTGGTCTCGGACATCATCATCGTGGAGGTGCTCTCGGCCATCATGGTCGAGGTGCTCTCAGACATCATGGAGGTGGACGTGCTCTGGTTCTTCGAGTCGCAGCCGGACGAGCCGCAGTCGGAAGAAGAGGACGACTTGGAAGAAGAGTCGTAGCCGGAGCCGGAAGAGCCGTAGTTGGACGACGACGACGAGTCGTAGCTCGAGCTCGACTTGGAAGAGGAGTCGTAGCCCGAGTTGGACGACGAGCCGTAGCTGGACGAGTCGCTAGACTTGGAAGAAGAGTCGTAGCCGGACGACGACGAGCTGGAGCAGCTGGAGTCGGAGCAGTCATTCGTACGCCTGCAAATGGAATAAGCATCGTTGATCGCCGGGCAATATAACCGGAAAAGGAAACGCACTTCTGCATCGGCGCGGCCGAAGCAAGGCCCACCAGGGAAGCAACAAACAGAGTAGAGAACTTCATTGTAAAAGATGCGGACGAGTTTTGAAGAAGGCGAGAGGTTGTTCAGAAGATCGAAGAAAGGAGAGTACTGTAGACCGTCGAGGTGTGGTGGACAAAAGAGTGCGGTTGATCCTCCCAGAGGCGATTGCGAGGTGTCGTCTCTTACAAAGAGAGAGAAGGGTCTGCAGGGTACTGATCAACAAACAGTTCGTAAACATATGCATACGCAAACGCTTACCTCGAAGACGAAAGGCGAAAAGAAAGGGAGAGAGAAAGAATGTGGGAGTCAACCCGACCTAGGAGCGAAAGGACGAAGGGGGGGTAAGGCCTCCCAATTCGCGCATGATCTCGGTTATGTACGCCCGCGTTCACGCTGGGAACGGTACATCAAGCATGAGCGCTGGAAGAAATGCCAGCCTGACGACGACCAATCGCGGCGGGCCGTACCGGGGGAGCGGTAATTCGGTAACAAATCATCGCCGCGTTCGCCGCGCTCTCCCATGCACGCACCATCTGATGCTCAATCGAACATCTTCCAAGTGCGGGAATCCGTCAGTCTCGATGTGTTCGATACATTTGGACGAGAACATACGCCCTGTACTTGACGAACAGATGAAAGGTACTCGAGCCTGAGGTACATGCATACAGGCTCGGTAGGAGGCACTGAAAATGCCTCGTCGATCAAGGCAACGAGCGAGCAGGGTCGATGCCGTGATAGGGCACGGTACGATCCCACAGATAGGCCAACGTGGAAAGGACCTCGCTTCCTTCCTCGGTGGAGTCGGGCGTTCGTTGCCTGTTGCCATGCAGAGACGTGCTAGCAACAGATTGAACGACCAATCAAGATGCCACTGAACGCGAACCTGGTCTCGACGCCCGGGAGAGAACAATCTCCAAGGCGAAAGGCGCCGTCAATGAAATGCACGTATCCCGTTTTGCACCGTACACAGGACAACAGGGCAACAGCGTCCACCTATCGATACACGCAGAAATGGCTCAGCCATTCGAAGAACATGATAAAGGAACAGTGAGGAAGAAGTCGATGCTATCGCCTAACGTTCACGGAACCGAGCGAAGAGCAAGCACGCTGCATTAGGGGCCGGGAAGAGCTTCTGCCCTGCCGCTCGCCGCGTCTTCGGCGGCCATGGATGGACCATGAGACAGGCAGCATGACATGATCGTCCTGATCGTGTACGGCGACGAGCGAGTACCACCGACGCCGTAAAACTGCAGGATAACGCACGGCAAACATGTTGCAAGGGCATTCCAATCTCTGCAGACTCCCAATCACCGGTCTCCAGCGAGAAAAAAGGCGGGTCGCCACCCTCGGGCATCCTGGGTATACAGCGCGACTGCAGCATATGTTTATTGCTTCGGTTCATTTGGAATGTCCACTTGTTACGAGGTGAACACGGATATAGCGCGAGGGGGTCCAGCCTGTACTTGGCTTTTCGAAGTTGGAGTGGGGATGTGTTGAGCCCATTCGAGGGTGGCGGTAGAAAGGCTCGGCATAGCGGGCCGGCGGGTACGTGTGTGGCACTCTGGAAGTTCTGAGAGATCGCGTTGAGGGCGGCACCTGGTACTCTCAGGACAGCGAGGGAGTGGTATAGGTAGGTCAACAAAGGGCTGCGACGTGGCGGGGAGGAGAAAGAGAGAAAGGTTAGAGGGCGGGGTATAAGGAGCTGCGGGTGCGCAGCACCTTGACCGTCCGATGTGCGGACGTGCGCCCAAATGAGGCGAAATATTCGCGGCCAGATCAGTTCACGCGGGCCAATAAGCATCCATAGATGTAATATAGTATCGTACAATATATACAGGCGGGCAGCGAAGATCACTAGGCGGGAGGAATATAAGAGTTGAGGTATCGCAGTACGACTGAACTCATAAGTACGGTCGGTCGCACGTCTACTGAGTCTGCAGAAGCATTCGCATAAGCATCAGTCTACACGATACAAGCCATGTACAAGCCCATGAGGTGTATACAGACAGATAGAAAAGACATAAGAGACATCCGGGAACAAGCCATTGTCCAAACCATAACCCAACGAAATCTCGCGCGTTTATGTACACTCGCACGCGGCTGCGAACCTATACCCTCCGTGCGCCCGGTCGACTGGGCAGTCCAACAGCCGCTCGCGGCGGGGCGCGAGACACAGGCGGTTCGCACCTTCCCTCATCCTCACGCACTGTACGCGGCTGGACCCTTTCCGACGCGACGGGCTCACTGGTATTGGAGCGCATGATTGCCTGACTGCGTTTCGCGTCGCGCAGCTCGCGAAGACGGTTACTAGCTTTGGTAGTGGGAGTGCGATCGAGATCGAAAGACCCGCGTGAAGATGTGGGTGCTGGTGCAGATGCGTATGCAGAGGGAGGTGGACGAGCGGTGCGCGGTGGCTCGTATTGGCCGTAGTCCTCTTGCTCGCGAGAGGATGAAGTCCTGGAGTTGGATGCAGAAGCGGACGGGCGTGAGCGTTGACCACGCTCTTGAGCGCTGAATAGCCACTCGGGGAGATCCTCTGGCTTGCGCGCTTTGTCCATGTGATACGCCTTGAGGGCGCGAGAGAGCGACGACTCCTGTCCAGGCGGTGTCCTCTCGCCGCTATATGTCTGGACATTTCCAGCCCATGCCTGGCTCACGTTGACGGTGAGTGAACTGGCCACCTCGGTCACTCGCGCCCAAAGCGAAGTACCGAGAGTAGTCTGAGTTTGCGCGAGTTGTTGTTCGTTCGCTGCAATCTCATGAGCACCTCTGCCCGCTCCGCATGAACGGAATAAACGAGCCACTCACAATAATTCTCGTCGTCAAGTCGGTAGTCATCGTGGTTGCCCACCCAGCCCGGCATATTTCTGCGCCGCCCATCCTCTCTCCCCATTGGCTTGCCGTTGTTATCCTCAAGGCTAGACCGCGAGCTCGTTTCTGAGCGCCCGAAGTATGAGGATGGCGCGTCGGAAATGGGCGAGCTCGCTGTGGATGCCGACGGTGCGCGACCGCGTCCGGGTGTCTCGGAGCGCATATCGCGCAGCCGTGGGCGCTCGTTTTGCCGCGGCATCTCCGGCATCGGCTGGCGCTCACGCTCGCGAGGCGGCTCACGGGCGCGGGATCGTGAACGCTCGCGAGGGCGGGCATCGTATGTTCGCGAGCGATCCTCCATTGCTGGGCGCGCCGGCGGCATCGGCTCCCTGGCCGCACGCGTAACCGACTGTGCACGCGGAGCAATATTTGCGAGAGAGCGCTGAGGCCGTACTTCTCTCGGTGGTGGGGCACTTTCGCCTGTTGCGCGGCGGCGTGGCTCGGGAGCGGCAGAGTATGACGATCCAGCATAGGCAGTTCTACTCGCAGGACGGCTTTGATCGTACGCATATCCGGTCCTGCTTCCTGGTCGGCTGACATCCGTACCGGCACGACTGGACGGGCGACTGACGCTCCCGCCCGAGCGCGGGTTGGACGGCAAGCCCATGGGTCGAGCACCCGGTCGAACAGAGGACATGCAAGTTTAGACGAGATACAGAGCAGATGGTTGTCGACGTCAGAGATATATTTCGAGAGAGCACGCGAGACCTCCGGGGTATCAGACAGGTATCAGCCTAGCGTGGGACCGGCCCACTGCGACTGAGAATGAAGAGGAAGGAAAAGGTATAAAGATAATTCTCGAATCACGGCAGCGCTGCTGCTCTGGGAGAAGAAAGAGGAACGAGAGAACGTAAGATGCGCAAGGCGCGCAGAGGCGGTCGTGGGGAGAAGAAGAGGTCTGACGACGGCGCGGCGCGTCGGTGATCCTGGACGAGCAGCTGTGCGTGATCCTCCCAGCGCATCGCTTCTCTTGTTTGGCGATTTCGGCCAAGTGTCTTGTCTCATTCATCGAGGCGCGCGCTTAGATGAGTACGTGGATGTGGCACGGCGCCTGGCTGTGTGGCAGTGTATCTGTCCATCAATGCATCGGATCGGTCAACTGTGCGCGCCCAACGCCGCACGCATACGAGCAAGTCGACATCGTTACGGCTTGCGCCCCATCCGGATCGCTGCTTCGCCCTGCAAACCTTGTCTCGAGACTTCATCATGGTGCACTTTGACGGCAGATCCTATGTAGTGACGCGTTGTCCGCATGCCGCTCACTGATAGTGTACTCTTATGCACTACGTACGAATCGTGAAAGTTATGAACGCCGACTAGGGTGTCGTTGACCTCAATTACTGAAAGCGTTCAGCCTGGCTTGGGAAGCTTCAGGTCAGCCATGGGGCCCATCGACAATATCCTTGCTTGTCCTCCTGCCGACGCACATCGGGTGGATATAGCTCTCTACGGTTCAACAGTGTATCCGATACCAGGCATGGCTCTAGCTTGGCGTAGGCCTATCGCGGCGATGTGGATCGACCTTTGCGCCAACGACTTTGAGGTGGATCGCAGCCGCTCTCTCAGAAGTTTCTACCGCATCGGCTGCACTCGAGCTTTGGTGGATTGCTGGTGCACGCTGTCGGTCTGTCGAGTGGGTGCGTGGCCTGGCGTGGCCTCGAGTAGCAGTATATAAAGCGACACATGGAGGCGAGGCCGTCGAGCTTCGACGACATCCGTCCTTGAGCTTTCCCATTTACACTTCACAATGTCTGAAATCACGCGCAAGAATATGCCATACGGTACGTTCACTTCTGCTCGTACGACAAAGACGCGTCTTGACAAGATTCGACAGTCCGTCTCGGCAAGTCTGGATTGAAGATATCAAAGGTACGTTCATTGGCTCTTCGGAAGGTTTGCCGAGAATGACCAACTGTACCAGATCGTCCTGGGATGCATGTCCTATGGCTCGAGCGAATGGCAGGGTTGGGTGCTTGGCGAGGAGGAGTCGCTCGAGCACATCAAGTACGCCTACGACCATGGCATCAACGCGTTCGACACCGCGAATGTGTACGTTTCGAACCGAGTGCGCACCTCTACCGTGACACCCATGATTGTCCAGATACTCCGACGGTATCAGCGAGGAGATACTTGGCAAGGCGATCAAGAAATACAACATGAACCGCGACGAGATCGTCGTCATGACGTGCGCGTAATCTTCCGTGCACTTCGTATTCAAAACCGACTGAATGCACCTTTGCAGCAAGGTATACTTCCCCGTCTCGCGCAAGACCGGAGCTTGGATACCTCCCGCAGAGCTCGATAACTCCGGCTACGTGAACCAGCACGGTCTCTCGCGCAAGCACATTTTCGAGAGCGTCGACCACTCACTCAAACGCCTTGGACTCGACTACATCGACTTGCTCCAGTGCCATCGCTTTGACTATGATACGCCTATCGAAGAGACGATGCAGGCGCTACACGATGTTGTCAAGAGCGGCAAAGTGCGGTATATCGGCATGAGCAGCTGTTATGCGTGGCAATGTATGCGCTTTCAACCGCTCTACGCATGGGCCATGCTGAGGTGTTCGCAGTCCATGTCATGCAGAACTACGCGATTAACAACAACTTGACGCCCTTCGTCAGTATGCAGAACCATCTGAACCTCGGTGAGTTCCCCTCGAACGGCACTTCAGCAAACCGCTCACGGAGATGCCTCCTCCTTCTAGCATACCGCGAAGAAGAGCGCGAGATGATGCCTACCCTCAAGCACTTCGGCGTTGGCTGCATCCCATGGTCGCCTTTGGCCAGCGGCATCCTCGCACGCCCGCTGTCAGAGATGACCCTGCGCAAAAAGACAGATCTCTTCCAGGGCGGCTACGCCGCACCCGCTACGGAGGCGATCATCAACCGCGTCGAGGAAGTCGCGAAGCGCCTTGGGCTGACTATGGCGCAGGCTGCGCTGGCGTGGGTCATGGCGAAGAGCGATGCGCCGATCGTGGGCACTACGAGCATCAAGAACCTTGATGGTTTGCTCGATGCTGTCAATGTGAAGCTCAGCGAGGAGGATATTAAGGCGCTTGAGGAGCCATATCAGCCTCGTAGCATTTTTGGCGCCCTGTAGGCTGGGACGTTCGGTGTGAGTGAAGAAATCTGTCTTTATCTGCTGACGTGCCGTCGGCTTGTATATCACATCTGTAAAAGCCGGGAGCTCAAATGGGGTTATGTATACATCGTCGTGGTTGTGTTCAACTGCATCATCAAGCATACGCCCGTCGCCGGGTAGCACACGCGGCGCGGCGACTGCCCGGCGTGAGAGCCAACTTCCTCTTAACGTCCATCACACGACGTACACATTTGAATGCTACCTCTACGTATCTCTTGGCCTATGTACGGCTATTGGCCACTCGTGTATGAATGTATCGCCGGACGCATTCAATAAAGTGGGCCCTCCGACGCGTCAGCTACCAGAAAGACGGGAGCTAGTGGGTCTACCCGGTTCGTTGAGTGGGTTCGGTGCCGCCGCAAAACCAGTATTGCCGCACGACCTACTCGCCTGATGACAGCAGGGTATAAGTAGGGCTTCTGCTGAAGAGTCTCTCGGTCGTCCATCCAATATCCGATATTTCACCACTGCATTCTCATCATGAGCGAAGTAACGCGCAACATCCCCTACGGTACGTCTCCCGACAGTGCTCGCGCGACGTCGATAGAAGCCGATGCTCACACTATATACAGTACGCCTTGGGAAGTCGGGGCTGAAGGTGTCAAAGGTAGAGGCGTCCAACTTCTCGAAAGCTTGGGCAGTTGTTGACTGGATAACCACAGATCATCCTCGGCTGCATGTCCTATGGCACCCCCGAGTGGCAAGGATGGGTGCTCGAGGAGGAGGAGTCGCTCAAGCACATCAAGTACGCGTACGACCATGGCATCAACGCCTTCGATACGGCCAATGTCTACTCTGAGGGTCTCAGCGAGGAGATCCTTGGAAAGGCGATCAAGCAGTTCAATATGAACCGCGATGAGATTGTCGTGATGACGTGAGTACTCTCCTCACCATCTTCATGTATACGCCACTGAATCGAGTATATGATCTCAGCAAGGTATACTTCACAGTATCGCGGAAGAACGGCGAGAACTACTACCGGAAGACTCCGCTCGAATCGGACCAGTCGGGCTATGTGAACCAACACGGGCTTTCGCGCAAGCATATCTTCGAGAGCGTAGACCATTCGCTCAAGCGGCTCGGACTTGACTACATCGATCTGCTGCAGTGCCATCGTTTCGATGACGAGACACCGATAGAGGAGACCATGCAGGCCCTACACGACATCGTCAAGAGCGGCAAAGTGCGGTACATCGGCATGAGCAGTTGCTATGCGTGGCAATGTGCGTGTTTCCGCCTCTCTTCCTGTGAAGGGATTGCATACTGACATTGTATACAGTCCACGCTATGCAGAACTACGCGATCAACAACAACCTGACGCCGTTCATCAGCATGCAGAACCATCTGAACCTCGGTATGTCTTGCTCACTCCATCAAATCGCTCTCTTACTGACAACGCCTGTCAGTCTATCGGGAGGAAGAGCGCGAGATGATGCCCACCCTCAAGCATTTCGGAGTGGCATGCATACCTTGGTCTCCGCTCGCTCGCGGGGTCGTCACTCGTCCGCTCTCAGAAGAGACCACGCGCAAGAAGACGGACAACTGGCAGCCGTACGACTCTCCCGCGACTGATGCTGTCGTCAATCGAGTAGAGGAAGTTGCAAAGCGCTTGGGATTGAGCATGGCGCAGGTTTCGCTTGCGTGGGTCATGGCGAAGAGCGACGCGCCGATTGTAGGCACGACGAGCTTGAAGAACTTGGATGACCTCATCGGGGCTGTGAACGTGAAGCTTAGCGAGGAAGACATCAAAGCTCTCGAGGAGCCCTATGTGTCGCGTGCAGTGCTGGGGCACTTCTAGAGTATGGTTCTGCATGAAGAATACAGACTGTCCAGTCCAATGTGAACGCTTGAGAACCATCGCGCCGAAATCCATCCGACATTCTGATAGGTATATCTGACGAGCAAGCCACGTCAGAACCCGTGATACAGCCCAATGTCATGTAAGGATACAACAAGTAAGAACATCGGAACGGTTTGAGCGGCGGGCTACGCGTCGCCATCCTTCGTTCTTTTTCTCTTGGCCTTTTTATGCTCTCCCTCGTCGTCATCATCCTCATCTACCATGTCCATCCCATCCCACACATCCTCCTCGTCACTCCCTTCGTCGTCGTCATCGGCTTCGCCTCCTTGACTCACGACCCCGATGCCGTCCCACACCAGCGTGCTCGGCACGCTCTTGAAGTACGTTTTGTCCAGCACCTTGCCCTTCCCATCCCCCTTCCCGCCGTCCCTTCCTTCCTCGGTACTTGGGGTTGAATGTACGCGTACGTATCGATCCCGCGCCGCACTCGCTATCAGCCCCTTAGGTCCTGGCGCGATTGCATGCACGCCACCCGCTATGCCAGGGTATCCGCTCAGAATCTTTCCGCTGCGGACATCGAGCGCGAAAACGCTCGTCCCGTTGTCCGACACATACAACTCGTTTTCTCCTGCAGCGGTGCTCGCGACCGTAGCTATCCCGCCGACTTTCCCGACACCTTGCCAATTTGCGACGGGTCGCTTTTGAGCGCGGATGTCGTACCTCCGTACGTCGCCGAACGCTGTACCAACTGCGAGGGAGTCTTCTCGTCCATTGAGGAAAGTTAGACATGTGTTGCGAACGGGCTGTCGGAGGCTGAGCGAATCATTTGGCACCTGTGCAGGAAAGAAATGATTAGCTATGTTTCCAGAGAGCATTTGAGTATAACATACGTTACGAGCACGCCATGTCTCTCCGGGAAGCAGCTCTTCTCCGCGCTTGCGTTTCTTCTTCCCTTCGCCTTCGTTCGTGACAGGCTTGCTCTCCCGAGCAGCAAACGCGCGCTCAGTATCCCACAATGAGAGCTCGACTTCGTCACCAGCATATGCAAATGTACGGCCAGATGAGGAAAGGTGCCAATCAGCTAGCCGCATAGGAAGGACGCCTGTTTGGCTCGAAGGTCCTTCGGACGCATCGGAGGAAGAGGCGAGGCTCGTAAAGCGCAGTGCGCCGTTGGATGTACAGGAGTATACGCCGCTGTGTGATGATCAGTAAGGTAATAAAGTAATGCAATCATGTTTCGGCGGCTAACCTCTCTGTGTGGGTAAGCCCTACGTATTTCTGACCAGCCTTTAGGCGCGGTTCGTTCCATTCCTTGACAGTTTCGAGTTCTCCATCCGAGCTCAAAGTGTAGGCGGAAGCCGAGCCATCCGCGTGGGCAGACGCAAGCTTTTCTTATCATGCGAGCCTCAGCAGTAGCCTCAAAGTTGTACCAGACGACAGACGTACCAGTACAGACTCAGACTCGGGAGAGTAGTGTGTAGCCAGGCGCTGTACTGCTCGTTTTTTGTCCTCGCCCCCTGCTCGAATGGAGTTGACGGTTATTTTATCATCCGAGCGCGAGAGTGATGCAGTTTTCAATCCGCCGAGTTCGTCACCCACAATAAAGCGCGCCATGGTCGTGGCCGAGGGTCAAGCTGAAGACTTGGAAAAATCTGGTCAGCGGGCGGAAGATCGGGCCGAAGCCACATCAAGGCGCGGGAACGCGGGCCGACCGGACTTGCCACACGCGCCGATCATGGCTGACGGCGGTGCTCTCAAGGAGCTCGACAAGCTCTGCAGTCTCACCGCCCCGGATGGGAAAGCAACATCCAAGTCGAAACCCATTGATACTACTCTTGATGGCCTGATTGCTACCTTGTCTGATTATAGGGCGAGAACTGCGGCGGGCGAGACCGTTGATCTGAGGCAGCTTCCGGGTGTCGTTGAAAGGGCCAAGAAGGATGTCGATGCACGACAGCAGGAAGTGTATACCGCTCTTACAAGGTACGGTAAAGCCATTGATAAGGTACACATATCACTCTCCGCCATATACTTGTACTGATCATATCCTCAGAAATTCGCACAGCCACTCCCGACCGAGTACGGCCCGCTCTTCGCCTCGCCGGAGGCACATAACGCCCTCTTGCGTGCAATATCCCAGCACCTTCTCCGTACAGGCCGTTTCTCCGCCGCCGAAAAGCTTGACCTCGAGTGTCCCGATATTGCGCCTCTCGGTGATGGCTTGGCCCCGCAATTCGAATCCCTACACGCCGTGCTCGCCGCTCTCAGGGCAGGCGACATTGGACCCGCACTTGCATGGGCGCACGAGGCAGATAACGCCGAGTTGACCTTCAGACTACACACTTTTGCCTATCTACAGCTTCTTGCGTCGCCATCCGGTGTTCTAGCTGCACGGGACTACGCTCGCACACATCTCGCACCACGCCACGCCTCGAACCCTGGGGCCGTTCAGCGCCTATTGGGTTGTTTGGTCTATGCTGGGCGACTAGAGCATTCGCCTTATACCGACCTTGCAGCGGCAGCGGACCCCGCGGGTCTGGAAGCAGCCTTCGCAGCAGCTTTCGCCGCACGTCTTGGCATGGGAGCCCGTGCGCCTCTCGCAGTCGCTGCATCCATCGGCGGTGGCGGCGCTCTTGCGCGGATCGAGAAGGGCAGGAAGCTGATGAGGGAAAGAAGGAGTGAATGGAGTCAGGCGGATGAGCTTCCCATTGAGGTCCCTCTTGGGCCGGAGAATAGGTTCCATAGCGTGTTTGCTTGCCCAGTCAGCAAAGACCAGGCGACCGAGGCGAACCCGCCTATGATGCTCAACTGCGGACATGTTGTTGCGAAAGAGAGTCTGCAGAAGCTCGGAAAGGCTAACGGGTGAGTGCTCTGTTGTATCGTGGATCTGAGATTGGCATGCTGATTGTGATGCAGCAAGGTCAAGTGCCCGTACTGCCCGCAGGAATCCTACGTCAAAGGCGCCACGCGCATGTACTTCTAGCTACCGCTACTCCATGGTGTATGGAAGGTCGCTCGCGGCCGTATTTGGATGTCTGTCCCGGTAATCACGCTTTGCATTTGTATTTGTAGACCATACTAGCATTATCATGGAGATGTTGTAATATCATGGAGATTGAATGGACGTCATGAACACTCATCGTCCCCCCACTCAGTGAACACAGATCACGGTGCTATCGGCCAGTCAATATATCTCCCTCACCGATTGCTTCGAACGTCTCCTCAAACGTGAGTATCCAGTTCCTATCGCGGACGTGGTTGACATCAGGGTCGGGGCAACCACGCTTCCTGCTTGCTTCCTGCCATCACCATCAGGCTTAACATAGGCTCGCTCGCACAGAGTCACCTTATTCACGAATGGCCGTGACCATTGAGACTGTTGATGAGGACGACCATGCGTTGCAAGGAACGGACGACGATGTTGATGATGATCGAGCTCCAGTTGAGAGCGAGAATGCCGCTGGCGACGAGAGCGCTACGTCGGATATCAACAATCACGAAAAGAGCTACCATGTCCCGAGTCTCGAGTCTCAACGAAGGTCTCGCTCCCGACGGAGGTCGGACATATACGCTAAGTCTTCGGCGGAGGCAGAGGCGGGCGACGAGCTTTGGGAGTCGTACTTGGATGCCGCAGCCGTCGAGGACCAGGCTCTCGTAGCAAGGTTGAAGCAGTCTTCAACAAGTACCCTCAGATACGTACGCACGTCAGAGCATATTCTATGAGACAGTACTCACGATACACTATGCAGTCTGCCCTATTTTCGCTGGTTGCGGGGATATTCACAACATACAGCATAAACACACTCTCCACACTCTCGCCACCTCCCGCTGCGAATCCGGGTGATCAAACTGTTGCTTTGCTTGCGCAGTGGGCGTCCTCCAAGCTCAAGAACGGCAATAGTACTATCGTGACAACTGAATCTGGCAATACAACTGTGGCGGACCTCATGACCGGAGCTTCGTCGACGACGTTCACTCCACCGAAAGCAATCGTCGTCGCTTCTACTCTGTGGTCATTGAGCCTTGTCCTTGCCGTTATGTCTGCCATAAGCTCCGGTATGATGGCGCAATGGGCATCGAACTTCGAATACGCCTTGAAACTTCGCCCCTGGGATCGCACGACTATCGAGAGGCACGCACTGAGACATATCGAAGTGCGCGTCAGCGCCGAGCGCTACGGGTTGGACATATTACCAGATATCTTCAGAACTATGCTTCACATAGCCGTCGTGCTCTTCCTCATCGGTTTGGCCATGTGGCCAGTACCCGACGAACATGTCCATACTGGGATAGCCATAGCTGCCGCAAGCCTTATAGGGCTCGGATACATCTTCTTTGGTGCTTTGAAACTACAGATCCTCGGTGCTCTGAAGTTACAGCGCGAGATACGCCGACGCATATTGCGGGGCGATGTCATGCAGTCGCCCGGTGATCACGAAACGGGATTGACATCGCCGCAGGAGCAGTACCATGACAAGTCGCCAACCGGCTCCAACTCTGTGTCCGGCGCGCATGGATCTTCACTCCCTGTGAATATTGAGATGTCAGAATTGAGGCAGAGGGGACCCCACACGCAGGCGGTCGCCGAGGCACCTCCAACTGAAGATGCCCATGGTATCACTACGGAGGACAGACGCGAGTCTCAACATGGTAGTACCGGCGTGATCCCCGAGATCCTCCTCGACCACGCTACTCCAATTGACGCACCTGACCCAGCGTGCTTGACGGAGAATCCGTCTGGTCTGGCCCGGTCGAACAGAGAGAGAGCGTACCAACTGCCGTGGTCGTTGAAGTTGCTGATGTTTTTCCTGAACAAAGAGCAGAAGCAGGTCATAGACCGAGAGATAGATGAAGCTCTCTACGGGCGAGACGGCATAGGTCCCGAATCTACCACACTTCCTCCGTTCGCGCGATCGCACTCGACGCAGTATCAACGGGAAACGAAGCCAAAAGCAGGACGAAAGACCAAGCAAGGCGCGTCGGTGGGGACGTTGGACGAAGAGCGAGGACGGACGGAGAAGGGACAGAAGCCTGGAGTGCCAGTGCCGTGGTGGCACGATGCTGTAGCGGCGTTCGCATCGATGGAGGAGAGCGACGAAGTCGAAAAGGGCATGCAAACGTCCGAGGGATTCCGCGTGCAGTCGGACGCCGTCATTGAACCTAGCGCTTCCGTGCCGCCGTCCATCCTCGTCAACAAAGGCTCTCGAGCTGGCGGTGACCCTGGCCCTTCGACGCAGGCATCAAGGATGGTGAGGTTCGAGGACTCGTGGGCAAATGCAACGCACGGGGAGGAATATGAGGAATCGGACCGTGAGGAGGAGTACCACCATGCAGATCGGAAAGGCAAAGGCAAAGCGCCTCAACGTTGACCCTGGGATCTCGGAATGAGGAGCAATGAGGGTTGTAACGTTAGATACCAAGCCATTACATAGATATTTCTTGCATAGTTTTCTCCACCAATGAACATGGTACTTATGTTCAATCAGCGTCAGTCAGACGGATGGGAAAAGCTGCCCGGATCAATCCGAGTTGTGCCCACGATGCATGCGTAAGACTGCAGGCATCACATTGATGTCGACAGGCTTGCCCTTCGTTCCCTACCATCATACCATATACTTAGTTTCTTAGCCCCGATCTCATACTGGTGACAACGTCAGCCGGTGGCAGATGTCGTCTATCGGCGCTGTGTATGATGCTGTTAGTGGACCTCTGGGCGATGTCGCGGAAGACGATCCGCAGGCGATCGCTGAGAGCAAGCCGGTCTCCGCGACCGAGCATGTATCTCATTCTCAGCGAAACTTGCTGGCGTACCCAAGACTCTCGATTGACCAGGAGGCTCATGTACTCTGGGCGAGGTACTTGAAGACTGTGAACCCAGTCGCCTCGGGAAACCGGAGGAATCCGACTACGCGCGCGCAAGGCGTTGCATTCACTAAGACCGAGGGCGCTGCTGGCGGACGGGACGCTTCTGGCAAGGGTAACGTTAAGGCGGAGAACGAACACGTGTCTCAGCCTCGACGGACCATGCTCTATGCACAGGGCGCACCCGAGAATGAGGCGCATGAACTCTGGGCAATGTACTTGACTGCCTTGGGCGCCTCCGGGAAGAGGGACGAAACTGACAGTGGGAAGCAGTCGAGTGCCAAGACGACCAATCCTGCTCATGTCGCTAGCGGTCCTGCTGCAGCTGCAGATGACGCGGAGAACACCAAAAAGGCCAACGAAAAGGACAAGGCTGGGGCGGACACGACGTATTATCCATCTTCACCTGAGGAAAAGGATGGCGATAGCTTCTGGAAATCATATCTAGACGCCGCAGCGATTGAGGACGAAGCACAAGTAAGCAACTGGAAACAGGCGTCCATGAATACTCTCACATTTGTACGTAACGTTGGTCATATACATTGCCGCAGTGCTCATGGTGTATCATTCAGGCTGGGGTGTTCCAGACCTTCGTCGTCTCCCGCTACTTCATCACAAGCGCGCGCTCGCTGGCATCTGCCGACTCTATGGCTAACGCGCTCGCCGCTGGAATGCAACATACCAATGCTCTTCTTGCACAGTTGGCGACTGTTCGATTTGATGATGTCTCCAACCCTACAGCGAACGTCACCAAGTCTACCGTGGAAGATATCATCACTGCCATCCCACTGCCAGAGATACCTGCATCTTCGCGGGCAGAGGTCGCCTCCGTAGGACTATTCGCAGCAAGCTTTCTTCTCATGCTCTTCAGTTCGACCGGCGCGACCATGATGGTTGTCTGGGCCGCGGACTTCGAGTGGGCTGTGGCGCCACCTATTGAAGAGATCGAGACGCTCAAGTCCCATTCGATCAAACATATCGACAAGCATCTGGGTGCTCAGAGATACGGACTGTATAGATTCCCAGTCATCATCAAAGTCATCTTCCACGCATCCCTCGTGCTCTTCCTGGCCGGGATAGCCATCTCTGCAGTACCAGATAGCCACATCCATACTGTGATTGCTACAACAGCTGCTGAAGTCTTTGGCCTGTTATACATCATGGCTGGTGTTACGAAGTTACAGCTATCCACGGCCCAGAAGGTACACCGCAATGTTCTGCAGACTGCGTCCACGCGAAGCGATACCTTCCCTCCCAACGATGACGCGGGCTCGATGCCACAACGAAACCCGTTCCTAGCTCATGATGGTTCTTCATTCAATACACCGGGCCTGGGTCCCGGCTGGTATACAGAGATGAAGGAGAGGGACCATACAAGAACGCACGCTAAGGCTACAGAAAGCATACCGCGGTCATTGCGAGACGAGCTCGAATCCTTATGTGACCGCATCACGGCTGAGTCCCGGAGGCATCTTGATGTAGACCCCCCTCCCGTCGGGCATCGCTTCATACCCGGTACCCTAGGATGGACGCTCCCGAGAAGGAGCATCGTGGAGCAGGATTCTCTGCTTCCTGGATCGCTCAAACTCTTGATGAAATTCATGACGAAACAGCAGAAGGACATCTTGGAGGTTATGATACGTGAAACCTTGCGCGAAGGGAGTGGATCTGGGTTTGCTCCTCTCCCAAAGATACCCCCACCCCATGCTACGTCAGTTCCCAAGCCCACGGGAGCGTCCAAGCCGCAGGCAGGCGGAACGTCAGCGGCAGCCGAAGACTATCCGACTAACGAGGGGATCAGCGAGACACATTGGTGGCGTGAAGTCATGGCGACGTTAGCGTTAGCAGAGAAGAGCGAGGACCTTGAGAAAGGGTCGACGGAAGACTTCATCGACGAGAATGGTTCCCTGCCATTGCATAACGTTGCAAGCGCGACCTTTTCCTCTGCGGGAGACCCCGGCCCTTCGACAATCGCATCGAGGCTCCAGTCCTCGAAGATGTCACAACCCGAGGGAGACTGGGAGCAGGAAGGAGACGACGGGAGAGACAACAGGTCGGAATCCGGAGAGTCTACCAGCGTGAAGGGGAAAGGTAAAGGGAAGGCGATAGCTCGAGAACCTCGTCGCAGAAGAACATATGCCTTGGAGGAGGGGTATGGTTTGCAGTGAACGGAGAAGAAGTCATCGCCTAAAACCGATATCGAGATCGGGGTACACTATAGTCTCCCGTAGGCAGACTCATGTCGCGCTGTAGGGTACATCTCGTCGAAAAGCACTTCCACGGTTGAATCCCGCGCCGGGCTTTTCATATACGTCCCCGCATCGAACCGTGTTCTTTTTTACGTATATTCGGAAGTACTCATACGGAGCCGTTTCGTCCACGTTTCCCCCTTGTCTCCTACCATCGCGATCCACAAGACTGTACGCGCCCATGGCATTGCTGTTCTGCGCTGTAATCAATGTCACACATTCTCCCTGAACAATCGGCCGAAACTCCGCACGTTATCACTAGTGACGAACTTCAAGAGGCGGACGAGGCCGTTCCCGTCTATGAGACTGTCATGGCTGGCAGCGAGGATGCCGTTGGTGATGAGATCGTACAGCTCCCTGGCGTTCAGGGCATCGGAGAGGAACAAGACGACGGTCGCGAGCAGGAGGCACCCGTCGATGACCGAAGCATCGTTGAAGAGCCCGCGGCTGGCGTGGGAAACGAAACCCAACGTCGCTCTCAGCCATTGTTGCGCGCTGATCCCGCTCTCGAGACCGAAGTATTTGGGGAACTCCGCTCAGACGCCGTTGCGCTTGAATCTGCCCCGGTAGAACGTGCAAATTCGACCAGGAGATTCTTCATATCTTCTGAGAGCGACGACGATGACGACGATGACGACGATATTAGCCAGACAGTCACTGCGGGAGACAACACTCAGAAGAATTCAGTCGCTTCTGTGCCAGAGGACGAGACTAGCCCCGTGCAACTCCCGGCGGACTTCGAGCTGGACCCTGCTGTCGGGGAAGGGAACATCGCAGACAACCGGGTAGAGTCGCCCACGCCTCACAAGACGGAGCCGGAGATACACCTCGAACGTGAAGGTGTCGCTCACGACAAGGGCAACGACAACAACGCTGAAGCTGCCAAAGATGCTGAGGCCCAGAGTCAACCCGACACGAAGAGCAAGGCGCCACGACCCCCACCCCGTAAGGGATCAGAGTCACATCCATATCTTCCATCCCCGCCCGATCAAGAGGGCAACGACAAGATCTGGAAAGAGTATCTGAACTCCGTCGCTGCCGAAGACAAGGTTCTCGTGGATGGTTGGAACCAGTCGGCTAAGCAGACACTCATATTCGTGCGTCATTGCCTCGGTACGAACGTCGACGAGGTGCTCATAACACACCATCTAGGTTGGCTTATTTGCCGCAGTTGTCGGTCGCTTCGCTGTCTTTGGCGCCAAGGCGCTCTCTCCTAATGCCAACGCTGAGTCGAAGATAGCTGGTCTGCTTGCGGAATTATATCTACTTGAAACCCAAGCGAAGATTCTGGCCAATCTCACAAATGGCATCGTCAATCCTACGGCGAACCTCACCCACTCTACAGACCTCACACTCGAACTCGATAGACTGGCGAACATTACTACATATGAATCACAGACGTTCGTTCCTTCTCAAACAGACATCATCGCTACAACTCTATGGCATATCAGTCTTGTCCTCGCGCTTTTCTGCGGGATCGGTGCATCTCTAATGGGAGACTGGAGTTTGCGTTACGCGTCGGCCGTACGGCCTGAACGTCACTGGCGGACGATTGAAGACCAGGCTCTCCATCATCTCAATGTGCGCGTGAATTCTTCGGAGCGCTACGGACAACCTGCGTTACCCCTCATCCTCAGAACCGTCTTTCACGTATCGATGGTGCTGTTCTACGCAGGACTGGCCATATACATGTACCCATCCAGCCACCTTTCAGTCACGGTCACTACGATCGCTGCTGGCTTCATAGGCGTGCTCTACGTCCTGACGGTGCAGTTGGAGCTGTTCACAGCTCGAAAGACACGGCCTATGGCTCGACGAACTGGGCACACGGCGCGACGCTACGACCATCCGGCCGCTCGGCCGAAGAGTGAATCTCGAGCGGATAGAGACGCGAAGGGGTCAGACGCGACGGAGACGCGCGCAGACATATCGGAAGGCCAGCAATCGTCTAACGAGAGACACGAGGCGAAGAGCGAGGCGGACGCGCTTCCACCTGCGCCATCGTCCGTCCTCGACACCGTCTCCTCGGGTGCTCGAGCGCTCGCAAGAGAGCGTGCGTCGACACCGGGACCTGAGCTGCCGTGGCTCTTTAGGCTGTCCATGCTTTTCATGTCGGAAAAGGAGAGAAGGGATATGGAACGCGAGAACGAGTATGTTCTGAGTATACTTCGCGAACTTGAAGAAGAGAGCCCTGCCGCTGTACCAAGTGCACAACCAGCTCAGACGGCGAGATCATCGCCCCCGAAAGCGCCAGAGCGGAAGGAGGTCGCATCCCCAGTGCAAGCTCAACTCCCCTCGGCTCCGCCCGTGGAGGAGGAACGACCCGAGGAGGTGCAAACCGAGGTGAAGCCCGCCGAAGTACCATGGTGGCATGATGCTGTAGCGAGATTCGCAGCGGTCGAGGGAAAGGACGATATGGAATGGGACTTCGTCTCCGAGGCTCTGCGCATGCAGAACGCCTATGCTATCAATATCACTGGGTCCAAGGTGCTCGGCGACGTTGGCGCGAGTTGCGTTCCTGCCGGCGATCCGGGTCCGTCGTCCGTCGCGTCAAAGCTCGCGGCGATGCGGACGATGAAAGCCAGGGAGGCAAAGGAAGCGAAGAAGGCGAAGAGAGAGTGCAAGTTGAGAAGACGGGAGGAGAAGAGGGAGAAGAAGGAGAAGGAGAGTCCAACTGTCGAGGAGGCTACTCATGCGGACATTAAAGGGAAGGGGAAGGAAACGGCGAACGTGTACCGACATACGTCGACCCGGGAAGATCTGCCGGAGGATGGATTGAGTGAATGAGCCATGGTGCGCGTAGCTAGCAACGTCCAGATACGTAGTGATGCATATCGGCGTTAGCCTTGAACTGGTCGGACGCGCTCAGAGTTGTATGCTTATTTCTTGACGTATCTTGCGTTTAATGATATATGGACAACTTTACATCTGTTATTATGCCTGTGATCTGTGCAAACACGCTTATTTGTCGGGGGAGTTGCTCAGGCAGAGCGGCATTATCGAGAAAGCTGAACATTACAACAAGCACAAGTATCATACACACCTCCCCACCGCGCAGACACCCGTCATCATGCTTCTACTGGCCTTGCCACTGGAGCCCCGCTTCCACTCGCACCGCTAGGCGCGGGTTTACTCCTTCCCCACCTCACGCCGACCTTCGCCCCGTCCACTTCAAGTCCCGTAGACCAAGCGACCGCAGCAGCCTCAGCCCCTGCACGTTCGCGAAAGTTGATGAACGCACAACGCGTCTTGGCGACGTGCACAACGCTTCGTATTGACGAAGGGTCCGGTAGTGTTGGGTGAAGTGATGTGCGGACCGTTTGTTCAGTGGAGGTAGCAGGGAGACCGGAGAGAAAGAGTGAAGTCTATGTGGGGGATCAGTCAGGCTATCGGCGTGAGTTGGTCGATAAACGTACTATGGTCTGGTCTTCGGGCGGAGCGAGCCCCTGTGAGGCAGCATGTCCGGAGAGAATCTTTTGTGCGACGGGATCGGCTTTCCCGTGATACCTATCCTTGATATTCTGCTTTGCAAGTGGGTCGTCTTTCTCGCGCGGCATTTCATGTCTGGATGGACGTTTGTCAGACTATGAATGCCAACGATAGAGTCCAAATACATACCGGTATGGACACTCGTCCCCTCGCTTGCACTCCCCCTTCGCGTAGAACGAGCACAAGTGTGGCTTATTCCGTTTGTAATACGGATCCGTCCTCGCCAACTGCTTCAACATCTCCTTGCCCGCACTCGCCGCCCTTCCCGCATCCAACCCACTCTGACTCGGCCCTAACGCGCTCTCCATATTTTGCGCATAATACTCGCGGTTGATATCGCTCGTCGGCGCGCCACTCTGGATATTCAACGCCGTATCGCGAACTTGGGTCGGCAGTCCATATTGCAAGTCCAATAAGCACGTCTGGCAGACGTTCTTGACTTTTGCGCATGTTTGACAGATGACAGTTGTTTTGAAGCGGGCACCTTGGCCCGGGTTCCAGCGGAAGACGGTGAAGGGCCGGGCGCAGGTGCCGCATGAGCGTCCGTATTCTTGCTTGGACATTCGGACGAAGGGGTTCGAGCCTAGACAGGTCTCGCATAGAATTGGAAAGTCTGACTGTTCCCAGCCGGCCTTGTTGAGATCTTCTTTGGGCGCCATGATGGGAGGAGGAGAGGTGTTATGTGGCCCACGTGCACCCGTGGCGCCGGTTCTTCGACGCGAGTCGCGCGTCGACTTCCTCTTCTTTCCTCCCATCGCGGTGGCAAGCTACTTGTAGAACCGTCATAGCACCAGATGGTGGCTGCGGGTACCCATAGATCTATAGCTATTCACTACCATTTAGTCTAGATAACATGGCTCTGATCTCATGCTTCGTGATACTTGCTCGATGTCGATCCGCGTGCCATTGGTCGCAACGCGCCTCTGAGTCTCGCCTCGGCGTACCGGCGCGACTCGGAATGGTGAGTTTCTAGCTGGTTGAGGAAATCGGATAAGGGTAAAGGGTAAGAAACGGATACATTCAAGACGGTCGTTACTGCATACTGTGGTTTATAATCGTGGGAATCCATGAATCTGGGCGCCAGTTTCGCCATGGCTATATATACAACCCTGGGCACGTTCACCAGCTCCTACGCTGTGGCCTTGTCCAACACAGGGGCGGTGAGAGATCCCGGCGCGAGGATACCGGTCTGGAAGCCAACTTCCTTCAGACGTTGGAACGCCTGGAACGGCGTCGGAGGCTCCGGCCACTCAGATGCGGGCTGCTTCCAGGCAAGTACCGGCTTATTGTCCCAGTTAAAGACAGACAGGTGGTAGCAGTCATCATCCTTGCTCCTTCTGGCACGGCAGCGGAAAGCTCCTTCGGTCGTGGATCCGCCATCGAAGTGTCCGTGGACTCTCGCCCATCTGCCGGACCACGAGAAATCGACGTAGGGGAGACGCGACTCAAGCTGGCGGAGACGCTCCTCCAAATTTAGCTTGCTGTCCTCGGACTAACAAGATTCGGAGCGTAAGCGGGCAGCCCGTAAGAACATCAAGCATGCCACTCACGAGTGCAACCCATTTAGGATCGATCTGCGACGACATGTCGGTGTTGTGTAAGGGGTTGTGAATTGCTGACTCGAATGCGTTGAGAGCGGCTTGCGATTAAATTATAATTTGGGACGGAGGACTGGGATGAGTTCTAATGCAGTACTGTCTGCCCACTTTTATATCGTAGGCGCTGCCAGTCGGAGGAAATCGATGGCCGCCAGCAAGGCGTAGCCCCGCCACGATGCGAGGCCTTGGCTATGAAACT